AAAATGTCCCACTTCTAAGAAGACTGAGGCAGGAGGATCACAAGTTCCAGGCCAGCCTCAGCAACTTAGTGAGACTGTCTCAAAATGTAAAAAGGCTGGTGGGTGGATTATGGCTCAGTGGTAGAATACTTGCCTAGGATATGTGAGGTCCTGGGTTTAATCCCCAGTCTCTCTCTCTCTCTCTCTCTCTCTCTCTCCAACACACACACACACACACACACACACACACACACATACACACACACACACACATACACACAAAGTTTTTTGAGCCGTGTTGTCAGAAAGGTTCTAGATAATCCACATTGAATCACCTGGGGGTGCTTCTTAGAATGTAGGCTGCCTCTGAGCAACCAAGCCAGAATCTTGGGCCGAAGAGCCTGAACATCTGCATTTTAATATGTTTCCTCAGTGGGTCTTAGACACACACCAACATTCAATAGCTGCTCAGGAGCCGCAAGTTACAAAGGGGGACCTTGAGTAAAATTGTCCTCTGGGACACGGGGTACAGAAAGACACGGAGATAGACAGACAGATAGATATAATGTAATATAAGGTTCAAGAGTGCAGGGTCTGGAATCAGACTAAATGAACTCAAATTCTGACCCTGTCATCAACTCAATTTTGTGACCCCAACAAGTTTGTTAACTTCTCTGTTCCTCAGTTTCTTCACCTTACAGTATTTGCACATAGAAATCAATTAATCAATATTTCCTATTACTGTTGTTATTATTATCTTAAAAAAGGAGAGAAATTATGATTTACCAGTATTTTGTGATCTGATCAATGACCATGTATATATATAATGACCTGTGTGTTGGGGCATGTAGTTGCAGCATTTGGCAGCCAATGTCCTAAATGATTAAGAGAATAAAATAATTTTCTTAAACAGCCAAGGGAAAAAACTTCTATAATCTTTAGTATGGAAGATAATGATTTAAAATATAGAAATTTGTAAAGAGAATGAGTTTCATACAGAATCGTGGCTTGGTTGCTGGTTCGTTCATTCACACACACTGTGCACAGTACCCTATCACTACAATTCAGGCACTGTAAATAAAGGCCTCTATAACTCTGAGAATGAGTTTCATACAGAATCGTGGCTTGGTTGCTCGTTCGTTCATTCACACACACTGTGCACAGTACTCTATCACTACAATTCAGGCACTGTAAATAAAGGCCTCTATAACTCTGAGGATAAAATAGCTTCAAGGAAACTTTAAGTATATCCAGTTACGAGACATACATAATTGATTATTTAGGGACAATAAAGTGTTAACTGAGGAGGATTTTGTTCTATGAAGAATTATTTGCTACCCTTACCTCTGACTGCTAGATTCAGAGAATCATTGGGTATTTTCAGGAAAGCATTTCATGTGTTGCAGAGGACTACAGCATCAGATCATACATACATATTCCTTCCTCTGTTGACAGGCCCATGAAGCCTGTGGTCCTATGGAAATTGATTCAGCTCTGAACACGGTGCAAACTCTTAAGAATGAGCTTCAGGATGCCAAGATGGCGGCCGTGGAGAGTCAGTTGAAGCCACTTCCAGGAGAAACGGTGAGCCATTCGAGCTAACTGGAATGTGGGCTCTGCCTTTGGCATGTTGAGGCATTTTTTAAAAGTTGACTTTAGTGTCTCAGAATTTCAAGTATTTTTGAATGCAGGGCCCTAGATTAGCCACATTTCTTTAGAACAGCATTAAGATAAAAATCACCCTGTATGAGATTCTCTTGATGGGTGTGTGTGTGCTTTCCTAGGTTTAGCTGAGGATAAGCAGGCATCTATTAATATTTACCCCTCTTTTTGGTAAATGAGATAAATGCTAGTGTTTCAGCCCAGTGGTCTAATCCTGTGGCCTTTTACTGAAAAGAATGTCCCATGCAGCCCAGGAGACTACATCTGGAACTGGGAGTACTGGCTTCTGGACCCAGCTGTGTTATCAACTAGCAGTGGACAGCATCTCCTCTGAGTCTTGGGTATCCATTAAATAGGTGGCAATGGATTATAATGGTAAACACAGGAAAGATGATCACCAGTCACTTAAAAAAGAAAAAAAAAAAGTGCAAGGCACTGAGCTGGACCACTGCAAAGCACTTTAAAACAGGAAAGCCACCAATGGAATGATGGCACCACATAGCTAATTGGATCATGTTACGATACCTCCTGATCTTTACATTCAGAGTTTTCTTGGCTAAAAATTACTAGTTCTCATTTTACCAATCCTGACTACTTTCCCATATTTTTCTGAACATTGCTAATAAAATGCCACCATTTATTAAGCACCTGTTAAACACTCCACACACACACACAAAAAATCTCATTTATTGTGATAATAACCCAATAAATGTTCCTTAAACCCATTACCACCTGAGAAAATAGTCACAAAGATTGTCACTGTTCTGTCCAGAGTGATCTGCCAATTAATGACACAATCAAGGTTTGAATCCAGATTTGCAGGACTCTAAAACCTTTGCTGATGACATTTTTGTTTATTTGTTGTTGTTTGTAATGCTGAGAATTGAACCCAGGGCCCCATGCATGCTAGACATACACTCTACCACTCAACCAAATCCCAGCCCTAAGAGCCGCTGCTCTTAACTACTATTGCTCTTTGAATGAACTGAAGTCTTTTTGAATGTAAAGGGACTTTGGGATCCCCTAATGAGCCACAGAACAATGTCTGACCTATCAGAAACACTCAGAAAACACTTGTTAAATCAAATGACCTCTAATTGAAAAGATGAAGGAACACAGGTTTAGAGAGGTTAAGTCACTTAACAAGTCACCCAGCTAATGATAGATACAGAGCCCACGAGGGGCTGACATGACATGTTTTCCATCTTTACATAAAGCACAGGGTCAAGTAGAATGTGAGAAACACTGTGCACTTTTTAAAGAAAGTGACCTACAGTATGTGTGCACTGTTATATTTTGGCTGCAATGGGTCAGGCTCTATTTGTATTTGAAGGCACAGTCTCTCTCAGGAAAGATGTTACCCGGTTAAATCTGTATGTATTCTCTTATGCCTTTTTGAATTTTCACAGTGCACCTAGACATTCTCTTCCAAAACATTGTCCTCAGTTACTAAGCAAATAATTATCCATACCCTAGGCCTTTACCAACTTGGTCCTCTGAATTTTTTTATTCAGCTTACAAGGCAAGATGACATGCTGTTCGTGGGAAGCAAACACTCTGCCCATTTTTCTAATCTCATTTACCACTTCGAATCTCCATTTCTCTTGCATTTCCTTTCACTTGGAACTCCTTAAAGTATAATGATCAAATTGAACAATGTTAATGGACCCACATGCCAGGAAGGTGGTGCAGCTGGATGTCTGCCCACTTCCTGCCAAGGCATAATTAATGCCTAAGGATTTGTTGCAGACTTTTTAAGTTAGCTTCTAAAGTCGTGGTGCTAATAGCTGCCATTTGAGAACCTATGTTCATTCTCTGAAGACCTTCTCAGCTAGGTATATTGTGACCTCAGAAAAAAGGTCATAAAAAAGCTCCTGGGGCTTGGAGGCATTCAGTAGCTTACCCAGTCTCACACAGCTAGTAATAGGGAGCAGGGGTGTATATTCCCAGTTTGTTCTAAAGCCGGGCTCTTTCCCCTGTTCCTCCTGCTGCTATAGGACCACGGCGTCCTGGGTGGGAAGAGCCCAAGCTCTAGGATTGATTTGCATTCTTGCTGAAATTATACTGAGACTTCAGTAGATGTTTTTTCCTCTAAGTCCTCTCCTCCTCGGATTTTCTTATAGCTGGAAAAATGTGCTCAGGACCTGGGAAGCACCTCGAAAGCAGTGGGCTCCTCCATGGCCCAGCTCCTCACCTGCGCAGCTCAAGGCAACGAGCACTACACAGGTGAGGCTCTGGGCCCTTCATGATGCCAGGTGGCTGCATGCAGACCACCTGGGGGGGGGTCTAGAAAGGGAGTTCCCAGATTTGGCAGTAAACATGTTGTTTTTTCCAGCAGTTCACAGAATATTTTTTAATTACCATCCATATACTTGCTAGTAGACTTGTTACTAAGCATTCAAAGACTAATAAAATGACTCCCAAACTGTCTGTGGGTCACCCCTACTAGACTACAGGCAAATCGTGATTATAGGCTTCTAGGTCTATCTCTGACTCCAGAAATTCCATTAATGTAGAAGAATAAAAAAAATAGATAAATAAGAGATAACTAAAAATAAGAAGCAAGTGAAATTTTGGAAGATGCAAGACTGATGAGTGCTAACTGACAAACCAGAATGAACACGAATTCAGGATCTCCAAGGGAAGGAGCCAAAAGGAAGTGAGCAGATTTGTGCTGCAAAACTGGGGTGGGGCAGAGGAGCTGAGTATTGGCTATGCTAGGTAACTCTGAAAGGCAGCAGATTTCTTAAATGGGAGTCTGTATAAGCAATAGATAGTGTAACAATAAGAAAAATGGAAAGGAAATGTTAACATAGTAGGCAATTTATACAACTCTGAAATTTAAAAAAAGTTTGAATATAAGCATCTTGTTTTAAAAATAGGAAATACTGAAAGAAAACTGAGTAACTCTGAGTGGGAATCAGGTGGGGAGAACCAAGTTAAAGATTATTGCTTTCATTTTACAGTAGAACTGCTTGACTTTTTAAAAAAATATCTATTTTATTACTGAAGTATAATGCATGTATTTGACAGCATAAGTCCTAAGCAGTTACCTCTGTGATATGAGTTACTACAAATAGAGTGTACCCAAGAAGTCACCACCAAGATCAAGGAGAGGAATGTTTTCAGCATCTTGGTTGCATCCTGTCACTCACTGTGACCCCTCTCCTTCCCCAGAGGCAAAGGCCCATGACCTCTAATAGCATAGATTAAATTTTGCTGTTTGAACTATGAATAAACAGAATCATACAACATGTGTTCCTTTGTATCTAGCTCCTTTTGCTCAGCATCGTATTTGTGAGACTTATCTATGGTGCCTGTAGTACCTTTCATTTTTATTGCTTTCTGTAAGATTTCATTGTATAAATATTCCTATATGTTTTATGCTATTCATGGGTATTCGGGTGTTTCTTTCCTGAAACACTGCCATAAATAATTCTAGGGTGTTTGGTGAGCATAACTGAGCATTTTCTAGGTTATCCCTGGAAGTGATCCTGCTGGATCAGAGGCTCTCCATATATCCACTACATTACTTTCAGCAGTAGGTGAAAACTCCAATTGTTCTCCATCCTTGTCACCACTTTGTATTGTCAGTCTTTTAATTTTAGCCACTCTAATGAGTATAGAATCACATTATAATTTTAATTTGCTTTCTCTTGTGAATAATATGATGGAAGATCTTTTCATCTGTTTGCTGAACTTTTTATGAAATATATATGAAATCTTTTGCCCATTTTTAAAACATGGGTTATTTTCCTTACTTATGGGACTTATGTGTCACTTATAGGCACTTGTCATATTTGTAGCTTGTTTTTACTCTCTTACATGTGTTTTTTGATGACCAAAAATTCTTCTAATATAATCCAATTACAGTTCTTTTCCTTTATGGTTAGTACTTTTTTGTGTCTGATTTAAAACTTTCGTTTATGCCCATTCCTTCCATCTGATTCACTTAACCTCAATTTTTTTAAAGTTGGCATTTTATGTTGTTGTTTGTGCAGAAACATAAAAATATTTTCCTCTGTCATATTCTAGAATTTCTCTTCTGTTTTCTTGTCATATTTAGAACTATGATGTGTCTGGAATTGAGTTTTGTTTGTGTGCAATAGGATTCCAGTTTAATTGTTTTCCACATAGATATTCATTTGAACCAGCACCACTGATTGAAAAGAACCCTGCCCACATCGGCCTTTACTGCCACTGTGTTATAAATGACCACAGATGTGTGGGTCAGCTTGTGTTGCTATTTCTTTGCACTCATTTAACTGCCCATTTTTCATTCACACTTTCTGAATTACTGTAGTCGTACTGTAAGTCTTCACATCTGGTAATGTTAAGTCCTCCAACTTTGTTGGGCTCCCTCAAGTTAGTGTTTCCATATAAATTCTAGATTCATATCTTGAGAAGTAACCCTGAACATTGCAGTCCCCTCTCTGTGCTTTTGCTTCCTTTCGAGATCTTGGCCCTCTTTATCTCAACTCCCTGGTATTGCTCCAGGGACTTCAAACAGATGTTTCATGTTTTTCAGTGTTCCCAGATAGTTCTTGCAGGAAGTGTTATTTGTGGAGTTTATTCTGCTACTACAAAGTCCTAGAAACACAATAGGAACAAAAAAGAAGATATGATATAATATAGTACCTGCAATGAAGTGATTCTATACTAATGGAAAGGTGAGGGAAATTTTCAGAGCAGAATTGACACCTACCAGGGTTTGAAGATTATTTAGGACTTTTTAGTATTCTGGAAGGAAAATGTATGCATAAATTGGTACAAATGTAAGGTATATGGGAGATTTAAGTTTGAAAAACATATTCCCAAAATCTTGGCAGCTTTTGTGTAGATGATGAAATGCATTTTTAGTGGAGAGAAGATTGTTTTATAAGTTGCATCATCTGATACAACATCCAGGATGGCAGGCTGCCTCCTTAGTGTCTGAAAAACAACCTAGAATTAGCACCATTTGGTTTTGGCAAGCATGGAAGTGGATGCTACATGCACGTCTCAAAGGCAGAGATGAATGTTGGATGAAGGAACTGAGAAAGCTAAACAAAAAAGGCCAGAAGGAAGGTGAGGAATAAGAAGATACACCTGGAAAGTTAGACCAGGGTTGGCTCCTAAAGGGCATCGTAAGCCAATGTGAATAGTTTGGAGTTTCAACAAAGAACATGTGAAAATACTGAAGGATTTTTAGCTATGGGTGAGGGTCAGATTGCATTTTGTATAGGTTGCCCTTCCTTCTGTGTGTGGAGTAGATTAGAGAGAAACAGATGGAGGCAGGGGGACAAGCAGGCAGGCTGCTGCATTTATCCAGGTACAGTGTGGTAGTGTTTTGCAGTGGTGTTAGCCAAAATTCCATCACTATAAGGAGATACCTAAAGTAATTAACATATATAGAGAAAAGGTGTATTTTGGCTCACAGTTTTAGAGACTCCAGTCCATGATTGGAGGAGGTTACAGTTAAAGAGAAAGCTGAGCAATAGAAATATTTGAAAGAAATGGGAATAGCCCCAGTGGGAGGGCAAGGAAACTGGGAGAGAGATGTCTCTAGAGCCAGAGATGTAGCTGCTGCCCAAAGGTGATGGGAAAGGAGGACTTAGAAGCATCTGTTAGCTGCTTTAGGAGAAAGGAGGTTACAGCTCTTGTTGAAGGCAGTTTCTACAAAGGTGAATAATGGGTGAGAAGCAAAGAGAGAGACAGCAAATATGAAGGAGGTCTCAATGGGTCTTAATTCCCTTGTCCCCAACTGATGGATGTGAAATATTCAGATGACACATGTTCACTGCCACGTGGCTACATTTGAAAGCAAGCGTGTTTTTCTTTGGCCAGTAAAATATTCAAAAGATATTTCTTCATGGCTGAATGCAGTTTACATAGGACCTGGTGCACATACTTTGGAACAGATTTGAGATTTATATCATACCTGGTTTTTACTTTGTGAGCCTTCTCTGTGGTCTAATGCTGCTTGACACACAAGCCACATGAATTCTGATAAAGAATAACAATCTTTTTGAAGAATACTGCTATATTTGGTAACATTTGTTATGTCTTAAGACTTTGCTATTGAGAATAATTTAAGATCCTGGTGGCAATAATACCATAAAACTTATCTGTGTTTCCAAGGGATTTTGGTTTTTGAAATAGAAATCTGCTTTAGAATTACCCACTTGTAGGTCTTGTGTTGTGATTCACTTGACTGAGAACAGCTTCATGTTGCTTGCTTGGACATGTGACTCTGAAGTGGTTACCATTAAGAATGTGGCTATCAACGTAGTTCTGTACAGCCGTGGGTGTTCACTGGGCTCTCTGGTCCTTGTGGCCTTAATTCATCTTTCTGATGGCGAAGTTGGAAAATTTGATTCCTCAAAAAAGTATGAGATTTCACATTGAGTCCTCAGCAGAAAATAAGTGAGATGGACAGATTTTTGAACTTGAGCTTTTCCAGTTTCTGCCTTTTAAAAATTGAGTCTCAAAGATTTTCCACAAAATGGCTTTTGCATAAACATGTATATGACAAATGTTTTATTCTTCTAAATTCCTATACAACTCAAATAGAAATGGATTCAAGAATCCAAATTAAAAAATTGGAAGACAGGTCTTTTTTATCCAGAAATCACAGCCTAGACTTTTCAAAAGCCAGTACTAAGATCTTAGCCTCTCCTAAAAGCTGTGGGAAACTGAGACCTATGGGAAAAGGCAGCAGTGTAGACCACACAGCAAATCAACACAGAGGCAGAGTACAATGAGGGCTTAACCACATCTGGTGTTCTTTTGAGCAATGACATCTTTCAACCCTGAGCCAAAAGCTTAAACATGAAGTAGATGATCTTTCCACTGGCTTGCTTTTCTCCTTTGCTTAGCTGTATTTACCTTCATGTTTTCTCTTTTGGGCTTGATTTTTAAATCCTTCCATCTCACAAGTCATGTGATAAACAGTAGATTGGCAGCTTTATAATCTGCATTGATTAGATTATAGAGTTCTATTCCAGCTGTGTGACATACAAAATATTTATAGATTAACAAGTCTATTGTTGCAAAGCTGTCTAGTTTTATGGGTCTGAGGACTTGCACATCATTTATTGTATTGTGGAGCTTCATCCTCAGTAATGTGAAGACCACCGTCGGCATCTTGCTAGCTCAGCTGAATTAGCCCTGGTAAAGGACATGCTCAAGGGCATCTAGAGACCACCCAGCTGATCCTGCTGAAGGAAGATAGTCATTTCAGAGCTTAAAGAGACATTGGTTTCTGTAGTTTTTATGCATGTCTTTTATGTTCTAACAAGAAGCCTTCACAGTTCTCTCTTCTAAAGAGCACTCTTAAGATTTTCTTACCTGAAGCTGAGGAAGTGCAGTTTCAACTCTGGTGCTACCTGTAAAATGTAAGCTTGTGGACAAGACACTGTCAATGCTGGGCCTCATTTGTGAAATGGGTCAATGAGATGAGCTCTGGAGTTGGCTGTTCCACAGTTCTCAGATTCTTTTTTTCAAATTCCCCAGCATCCAACCTCCATGCTCTTCCTGGTACCTTGGGATGAGTACCATGTAGTTAGACTCATGTTTATTCTGCATGAAATGCTGGAATAGTTTTAAAGGACTAGTTTATATTCATAGAAAATCATCACTAATCTCATCATATGTTTCAAAATGGATTGAAAGATAACCAGATGATTCACAAAATGAATAAGTATTCAAATAGCCATTAAATTTATTTAAAAAGTAAGATTCTCATTACTCATTAAGTTATGAAAGTTTAAACTTCATTGAGATGCAATTACATTTGCACCAAAGTGACTAAAATTCCAAAAATCCTATTGGCTAGGATTTAGAGCAATTCCAACTTTAGTGCATTGCTGGTGGAGGGTATAATGGTAAAATCATTTTGGAAAACTGTTTTGTAGTGTCTTCTAAAGTTAAATCTATACTGTTCTCTTACATAGAAAATCAATTCCTATGTTTAGGTCCAAGAAAGAGAATTTCATGTGTGTGTCTGAATGTATATACAAAAACTTTCCTTGAAGATTTATTCATAGTGGCCCAGAGTGAGAAAAAACCCAAATGTGCATTTGCAGAATAATAGATAAACAGGTATTGATGTGTCCAAATAATGGCATATTACCCAGCAAGAATAAACTGATAACAATATGTGTGAATCTCACCAAATGATGGAAAGAGAAAGAATTCAGACCCAAATGATGCACACTGTGTGGTTTTATTTACATAAGTTTAAGGACAGATAAAACTAGTCTAAGGTGATAGATTTTAAGTTGGTGATTACTTCTGGTGTGAAGGGCATTGTTGAGAATGGCACTGGCGATGGTGGGTAAGTGGATGTTTCCATATGTACAGATTCACAGAGCTGCTCACATAGATTTGTTTGCTTTATTATGTGTATGTAGGTTATATCCTAATATAGGCAACTGGGAAGAAAAGTGAGTTAAAACAGTCTCCTTCAAACTGGACACACCCAGGGACCTTCAGCTGTGCTATTGCCCTCATGTCCTTGGTGTGTTGGGTCTAGGGACCTATAAGGCAGTGGGAGCAAGGAAAAGAAGAAGGAAATCATCTTTGCATTATATTTGTTAATGCATCTCTTACTTATTTGAGAAGCACAGCAATTCAAATTTTACAAATGTCAATCCAGAGTTCCCCTTAGGCCAGGCTGTGGTGCAGAAGGGGCCCTGGTCCAGAGAACTATTCTAAAGTAAAAGTGTGACATTTAGATGGAATCTAATAAAAAGTCTGGTGGGCTTGTATCCCCAGGAGTGGCTGCTAGAGAGACAGCCCAAGCTCTGAAAACACTGGCCCAGGCTGCTCGGGGAGTGGCTGCATCTACTAGTGACCCCGCTGCTGCCCATGCCATGCTAGATTCTGCCCGAGATGTGATGGAGGGCTCTGCCATGCTCATTCAAGAAGCCAAGCAGGCCCTGATTGCACCTGGAGATGCAGAGAGTCAACAGAGACTAGCCCAGGTAAGGCTCAGAATTGGGAATGATGGTCATCCTTACCACATATGTGTTGGCAGGCTGTTTCCTGGATGATTTTTCCTGGTGCGAATGCTTTGACTCAGCTGATGTTTTGAGAACTTTCCATAGTGCCATAACGATGCTGGCCCATACATGATACTCTTGTTAGTCTGCCTAGTATTCCCCATATTAATGTGAGCTCTTCTCCTTTCTCAGTCAATAGAGGGTATGGATATCTTTGCATCATGTCCTGGGAGGTTTAGGACTTTAGACACATTTGTTTTGGGCCAACATGTGCTTCCTAGCCTGGGAAGTGAAGAAAATATACAAAATCCAGGCACTCAAAGTTTCTACCTATAACTCCCTATCACCCCTGTGGGCGATTCTCTGACCCCAGGATAAAACCAGTTAACTAGGGACATCCAGGTAAAATTCTAGACATGGGGCTTGGAAGGAGATATTTTGGATTAAAAGAAATGACAGAGGCTACCTCTGAAGCCCTAACTTTCCTTTTAACTGAGGTACCCAAGAGTACAAATAAGAAATCACTTCAATACTATATAAAGGCAGCGTGTCAAGCAGTTCCATTGATTTGGAAGTGCTTAGAGTCTTGCCCTTGGGTATAGTGAGATTTGGGGGTAATAGCACCAGAGGGTCACTGAGCAAAAATCAACCAAAGTGACAGTGACCCAGAAGAACTCAAGGCCTACTTCTACCTCAATGACCTCAAGAGAGTTCTCGAGGGGAATATAATTCCTTTTCTCTTGAAACAAGGTACCTAGGTTTGAATCAGAAGCTATGATTCAGCCTGGCTTTGAGAAGCAGTAAGATGTGCCTGTCACAGGATGTTAACCCTAGTGAGGGGGTGGAATTTGCTTTTGGACAGCAGATGTGGATGAGGTGATTTAACTTAACAGTGTCAGGCAGATGCTGGTGGATAATTTCCATGTCTGTGTCAGCTCTGCATACTCTCACTGCTCAATTTCCCAAGAAATGTGAAAAAAATGTTTATACTAAAACCATTCTTATGATGTATGTCTCCCTTCATGTATTCAGGTGGCCAAAGCTGTCTCTCACTCCTTGAATAACTGTGTGAATTGCCTACCTGGGCAGAAGGATGTGGATGTGGCCTTGAAGAGCATTGGAGAGTCCAGCAAGAAGTTGCTTGTGGACACGGTGAGAGGTTCTGACTAGGAAGGGAGACTTGTCCCCTCTAGGTGTGAATGGGTCTTCTTTTGTGGAATCTTTTAGTACCTAACCTTTCCTTAAGACGTACCATTTCTCCTGCCAGTTGGCTTTTCTGTTCATTTTCTGTTCAGCAAAGTTCCCAGATGAAGCTTTTAAAGTTTACTCTTTAAGTCCATATTGCTGTTAAGAGACAGAGGAGTGGGTATATGGTCCTCTCCCTTCTTTTAAGGGCATGTCAGATAGAGATGAGTCAGCAGTGGAGGTGCACACATGTTCAAGACTCATTGGGAGAGCAGGTGGTCCAAGGACTTTCACTTAGGGACCATCCCCATCCCTGCTTTGTGAGTCTGCTTGCAGAATTTGTGTTTATCTTTATTTCTTCCCTGTGCCAGTATACAGGCAGGTATGCTGGTGGTAATAGAGTCTAGCCTAGCTCTCTGGAACTTTTCACTAATGGTTATAGTTCTTCAAATGACACTGGTATCCTGTAAAAAAAAAAAAATAAAGATTAATAAAGACCATAATAAAACAAAATTGGTGGCTATTAATTTGGAAAAAGTGATTCGTTCTTTTAGTTCTAAAAAACTAGACTGAGAATTTCCATCTTGAGAGAGACAAAACAGGGTGGTGGTTCCAAGAACGGATCCCAGAGTCAGGCTGCCTGCATGTGAATCCCATCTCTGCCACTTAGATGAGCACGAGCACTTGTAGGTGGCTGTTCTTACTGGTTTTCCATCTGCAGTGTATAGCCTTGAGTCTTTTCTGTAAAGAGGGATAGATGAATGAGTGTAGTTGTGTTGAAAGGCAAACCTCACCTGGACCCAGACCATACAAAGCCTTTCAGTCTTGATGACTCAAATGCTTCCCTGGGAAGTCTTTCTTCCCTCCACAATGCCTGCCTTTATCCCTCCTGAGCAAGGTAATACTTATGGGGTGTGCCTTCTGTCCTCATAGCTACCTCCGAGCACAAAGCCTTTCCAGGAAGCCCAGAGTGAACTGAATCAGGCAGCAGCTGATCTGAACCAATCTGCTGGGGAAGTTGTCCACGCTACCCGGGGCCAGAGTGGAGAGCTGGCAGCAGCCTCCGGAAAGTTCAGTGATGATTTTGATGAATTCCTAGATGCTGGCATTGAGATGGCTGGCCAAGCACAGGTAGGTGTGGAAATACTGTCTGTCCAGAGCTGACCTGAGCCTCTGCTCTGAACTTCCCATGTTGGAGGCTGACTGGGCAATTGGGCATAGGAAACCTATAAACAGGCCATGGTACATTCCTTTTGCTGCTTGGGAAGTTCTGTGACCTCATAGGAATGGCATTCCCAAAGATGTCTCAGCTTATGTATGAGCAGCTCTTGGTGATGAGGGATGACTTTTCCCACGATTCTCCAGCAGAACCCATCCTCTCACTTATGCCATTTGAAGAAAGAGTAGGAGGGGGACAGTGTTTAACTTAGATGATGATAGCTCTTCAAATGTGGAATAATATAGCAAAATACACACACACACACACACACACACACACACACACAATACACTCAGACACACACGCATATTTGAGGTTTAGTGGGCTTATTTGGAGGGACTGTAGTCTAATATACTGAGTGTCAAATGATTAAAAAGTACCACCTTCACATGCTCAAAGAAAAATTACCTCCTTCAGATGAACAGATAAACCGCTTGTTTAGAATACAAAAACATGACCAGTCAGGTATCAACTTGCAGGGATATTTTTTCTAAGCTCTTGCAAACTCCGTAAAAGAGCTATCCCATTATTTTTTGCTCTGTTATCCACAAAGTATTGTTTCTTCCATGGTAAGGCAGGTGAGAAATGGGTCTTTTCCCGAATCAGGATCTTCTGGGTTGCAGCCAGCTCTGAACATTGAAACAGTGCTATTCATTTGTGCCAGGCCGAGATGTACAAGCTACTGGACAACTCCAGCATTGTTGAGCAAGATGCTGGAATCGTGGCCTCGTCTGTGCATTGGTGCTGCTCACTGGCTCTCTCCTCCCCCTGCTATAGTGCCTCCAGTTGTGAGAAAGCACAGCTCCTGGCTGACCCACTTAAGCACGGATTTCTTTCCCTGATGCATGAATCTTGCTCTAAGCATCTGTTTGAAGAAGGATAGACACTAGTCAGTATCTCAATGTGTTAGTCATGTGCAGACTGGGCTTCATGTGATCTCTGCAGATAACTTGCCTCTGCCTCAGGATGCTGCTCCTAGCTCTCTGAATGCTTACTAGGAGAAATGGACACTTCCTCATGACTTTGACTCCTTTTGACCTTCCAGACGAAAGAAGACCAGATCCAAGTGATAGGGAACCTCAAGAATATTTCTATGGCATCCAGCAAGTTACTGTTAGCGGCCAAGTCTCTCTCTGTAGATCCAGGAGCACCCAATGCAAAAAATCTGCTGGCTGCAGCTGCAAGGTAAGAATGGGACAAATTGTGCTTTCACATGGTTTTTAAATGATGTCACTGCATCTTGAAGATGTGCCCAACATCCTACTACTTTGCTAAGCGAAGAATTGGTGGTATCCTTGTGTCATTGGAGGTAAAGTAAAGAGTAATGGGAGAATCTGGGGTGTTTTTTTTGTTTGTTTGTTTTTTGTTTTTGTAAAACTGGCTCCTCTCCATGATTTTTTCCCACTAAGAAATCCTCTGTCATCTTATACAGCCTTTCCAATAAGGACTGGCTTAGATTTAAGGCCACTATTAACTTGCAAACATGAAAGCTTAAATAGATTTTTTCAGATGATGAAAGTAATAGATGCTTATTGAAAAAGAAATCAGAAAATATTAAAAACAAAGAGGAGAGCAATGCTCAAAAAACATTCACCAGACATTTATTCAGCACATACTATGTGCCTGGAATGGATATTAGATTGAATTTGACTTGTGTGGAAAGGCTCCAGTTTAGGATGGATGAGTAGTGGTAGAATAGCTTTTGAACTGAAATAAAACATGACTCTGAATCTGGGAATATTTCAGGGTTCTCCTTTCCTGTTGCTTTCACCCAGGGAAGTAAGTAATACAATTTCTGGTCGCAGGCTACCACTGTGCCACTTCAGTTCAATAACTGGTGATTGAATGCCAGCGTGCAGAGCAACTGCAGCGACAGCCCAGGACGATCTTTTATTAGCAATTCCACATTCTTCTTCCCAAACCCAGAGGGGAGGATATTTTACCATGGGTGGTACAGATGCTTTCTTAGCATTGTTTGACACCATTTTATATATGAAAAAGCTGAGATGGTGAGGCATTAAATGAGAGGCTATGAGGGGGATGTAATCATTGGAAATCTTTTCAAAATGTGCAGATTAGTGATTAGCTTCAGTTCTCCTTGCTTTTTCTTTTCAGCTTTGTTTCATTTGTTTGGTTTTTGTGGGGTTTTTTTGTTGTTTATTTGTTGTTGTTGTTTCCTTTTCTTTGTGTGAACCCTTGGAGCTCAGTGACCATTTAAATTGTCTGACTCAAGGTACCCGAATACTATTCCAAGCTTTGATTCTCTCCTCCCTCAGTCATGTTGCTCAACCTGTCTAAACTTTCCATCTGTGAAATGAAAGTGTGAACTACATCATCCTTCAGTTCTTTCCAGCTTTCATGGAACTAATAGTTAAGTCCTGTCTCTCCTTCCATCTTTTTGTTTGTTTGTTCCTGTAGGTATGTGTATGTGTGTATATATGTACGTATATACACGTACATAGATAGATAGATAGATATTGTTACAAACTGTCAGAGCACTTCCCTTGCAAGCTGTTGTGTTTCTTCATTTAGTCACAGAAGATACATTTTAAATGCAAACAATAGAGTTTTAGGGGTTTGGAAAATTATCTTCACATCTCCCCACCTCTTTCTCATGCTTTGTGATTGTTCTGATAAACCAGTGCCCTCCCTTGACAGTGGGGAGAGGCAAGGATGGGGGTGATATCTATTTTGTGGAGCAGCTGTTTCTGATATAAAACCCTCTCTTGATCACTTCTTTTCTCCTACAAAGAGCCTTTGGATAAGGCAACTGATATGTCCAGGTATCTGAACTCAGATGTTTTTCATTATCTTCAATTTTTTGCATCATTTCCAAATTATAATTTCCAACTTGGAACGTGTTGTTCGCTCTCTTAAATTGTGGAAAGAAGGGAAAAATATAAATTGGCCTCTAAAGTCCAGATAAGAAGGCAAACAAACCCTGAAAGAATGTTGCTGGAATATAGTTCTGGGTGTCTGCAGACTCCCTGGTGGTGGCACTGAGGACAGAGCCTAGAAATAGGTTAAAAACTTTCTGTCCTGGGGCTGATGCTGTGGCTCAGCAGCAGAGTGCTCACTTAGCACGTTCGAGGTGCTGGGTTCGATCCTGAGCACCACATAAAGATTAAAAAATAAGAAGAAGAGTAAAAGTATTGTGTCCAACTACAACTAAAAAAATATTTTAAAACTTTCTGTCCCCTGTCCTAACTTTCAACTACTTTCAGCTGCTGGCAGAGAGTTCCTACCCTGAGGGTTTGATAGCCAGGTAGCTACTTAAGACTGCTCATGTGAAAACAGTTGTCTGGGATGCAAGTGTTGCAACAAGATACTGGCACATTCTCCTTGATTTCTTGGCACATTTTGGCAAGCTTCTGCTCCCTGGGTGGTCTCCTAGTGGGAAACTCCAGCCTGGTCCAGTGGGTCAAGCAAGCTCTTGTTGGGGTACAGCATTCTGCTAGGATAAGATTCATTCATTCATGCTTTTATTCTTTCACAGGTTAATGACACAAGTGGTTATCACAGGACTGACTGGGGCCAAGCCCAGTGCTGGGTACACACTGTGAGCATGACAGGGATGTGGCCATGGTGAAGTTAGAGCAAGATGTAGAATGAGCCCCACATTTCCTCCATGCCTCCTATAAGTGTTCAGGAAGTTGAGCAGCAGGAACCTGATGTTATTGTCTTTAGTCTCAGTTCCACTGCCCTCCTTGTTCTTGAGATGGCCAAGCCCTGCTGGTCTCTTCCATGCATGTCCCCAGCTCTGCCTGGTCCCACTGCTGGATCAGCAGTCTGGAACCTCTTGCTTTCTGGGTCTCTGCAGTTTTCCTCTTCTCAGGAAGAAAAAAAAAAAAAGACATTGGCTTCTGGAGAAAAGGTAGAGTATGTGTTTTTTCCTGGGCTTTGAATTCTGCTTCTAAGCCTAGGAATATTTAAGGATCCTCCTCCCTTGGCTGATGAAGAGAAATTCCTTTTCTGACTTGATCATCTTCCTTTCTTGCTAGTTGGGCTCTGGCTCTTTTTTGACAAATTGGATGAAGCTGAAGACCTTTTGTCAGTCATTCAGTAGCCTTTTCCCCAACTAGCATGTACCTGGGCAAAGGAGGGCATATCTATTCTGAGCCCCTTCCCAGCAGCCAGACGTATACCATAACCATCATAATGGCCAGAGGAACTCTAGAGATGAGATGCCTCAATGCGTGAAGCTGCCTTGAAACCCAGGGGGCTTTCGCTTTTATCCTGTCCTCTGAGGGTCTACCAGGAGCTCCCAGACAGCTCCTACTCTCTGACTACCTTTGTCTGAGGTTTCTACTAGGCAGGCTTCCTCCTGTCTCCAGAGACAATGAAAAAGGAGAATCCAGCAAGCAGCATGAAGGGAAGGAGGGTCTCTGCTATATAAAAAGAAAAAATAGAAATAGGGCTCTTGCTCTCTGTTGGTTTCATCTAGAAAGTTCTCTTTTCCTTTTTCCAAATCAGAATCACATTCACCCCTACTTTCCCAATTGCTGCAGTGTACGTTGAGCACTTCCTTCCATGCAGAACCCTTGCCCCACAGTTGAGGTTCATTTTCTTCCATGCTCCTTGTGGATTTCCACATTTATCTGTCCTCTCTTTCAGCAGGTCCACCATGGCCTGTCTCCTATTCTTTTTTGTGTCTCTTCTTTTTCATTGTCTTGCCTCTTCAACTAGATTGCAAGCACCTTGTTGTCTTGGGGATCTTTAAACTGTATTATTTGTCTTTATTCTCCATGCCTGGGGCATAACAGAACCCTGGGAATACTTATGGGTGGATATGATGGGCTTCTTTCTCCCTCCTAAGCACCTCCTTCCTGGAGGAAGGGAGCTGTCTTAGGCTGCTGTATTCCCTCTAGGCCTCTTATCAGGTGATTTGTGCTTCATAGATGATCAGAAGCTCAACTTTGTTGATTTTCTTCTCTCACTCATTTCTTTTTCTTTTTTTTAAAATATACTTATCTTTTAGTTGTAGTAGGACACAATAACTTAATTTTTCTTATTTCTTTTTATGTGTTGCTGAGGATCAAACCCAGGGCCTCTCACGTGCTTGGTGAGTGCTCTACCACTGAGTCGCAACTCATCAGGCCCTCACTCATTTCTTTATTTAAAATTTCCAGCCAGAGCTCTCAAACTTCAGTTGAATCAATTGAGTATCTCTGGGCACTAAATGATTTTTAAAAGAGGGCCCTTTTTAACCTCTGAGGTGGCAGATCCTGATTTTTTTTAAGATAAAGAATCTTTATTTTGATAAAGACTTAAATATAAGAAAATGATACCTATAGATTGTGAAATTATGATCATCTAACTTTTTTGTATTTTTAAAAATAAACCCAGAGCATTTTAAAAATTTATGAGCATTTCAAAAAGTTGTGGGGGGAAAAAAAAGATCAGATCTATTTAGATTCATGCTAATTTTGGTGATTTTTTTTATAATATAAACTGATCAATTTATAATTTCTTGAGATTTTTTGAAATTTAAAAAAATAACATTACAAAATTATATTAACTGTTCCTTTGTTTGTAAAAATAGCTACCATTGTTTCAAACATAAAAATATTATTTTTCATCGTCAAGCATACGTAACCATTTGCCTCTAGACCACTTAGTTTATTATTTAGCAATGTATCCAGACTCTAAAATGAGTTGTGGGGATTAATCGTACCTAAATAATGCTCTTTGGGCATGGATCATTTACCCAGGAGACTCATTTAGACATGTGATGCTGCTCTGACATTTTATGGATTATTTAACCACAAACTATTAAGTCTGTTGGTTTTACTTTTTTAATGCCAAATTTTTACTTGAAAAATTTTCATATCTACAAAAAAAGTTAAAAGAATAGGAAAGTCAGTAGTTTTCCCACAGCTGTGTATCCTCTGGATTCACCAATTGTAAATACTTAGTTTTTAAATGGAAAAACCTTTATACAGAAATTAGGTGTTTAAAAAAAAAAGAACAGATAAACAGGCAACACTTTCAGGAAGAAGGAAATGGAATGGAAAGCTTCTGTGATATGTGGACATATTCTCCAAATGATCTGCCATTATGTTGAGAGCATTCTCCACCTGGTATGTTGACTTTGCCAGCCTGTCTCCTACCCCAAGGTGGGTCTCGGCCACCACACAAGACATGGCACTAGACTCTGAGGGACACTTCAATGCATGCATCATGGACTGTGCCCATCAGGATCATTGGAACAGGGACTGTCCAGCTGTCTGTCATTCTACTTTGCAAGATGGAGAGTATAGTGCCTCCCTGTGATGCTCTCATTAAAGCAATTTCCCCCCTGTAAACAAATTACCCATGTCGTTCTTAGAGAAGCTATTTGAGGATTCTTTCTTGAGTTCAAGAATGTTTTTCTTCTTTCCATCGCCCTAGCTAAATTTAGAATTAAAAGAAGTATCTCATCAAATAATTAAGCTGATTGCCTTTGTACGTTGGTAACATCATTTTCCATCTAATTTGATATTCTGTGGCAAGCTGCAAAGCTGATTTAACTAATAAAATGAGGCATCTTTTATATTAGACAATGTTGGTGATTAACTACAATATGTGGTTTTGTTTGTTTTAAGTTGTCCTTTAGCTGTAGTGCTTAGGAAATATGAATAGAATTCTAGGCTCTGCATTAAGTATGGACCATTATGGCCCTGCAGAAAAAAAGATAGTTTGGAGTCAGACAGGCAGGCATGAGTTTAAGTCTTGATTCTACACCTTATTTGTAGCACCCCATTAGGCAGTTAGCTCAGTTAGCTCAATTCTCAGAATTTTCATGTATAAAACACAAGGGTATTCTATTTTTTAACCAATACATAACATTTATATATATTTATGGGGTATAGAATGATAATTATCATATATATGTATACACACACGCACACACACACACACAAAGTGTGTAATGATCAAATCAGTATGATAAGCATTTTTTATCTCCTCAAGCATTTATCACTTCTTTTCAGTTTTAAGACTTAGAATACAGAGCTACAGTAATCAAGACTGTGGTATTGGTGAAAAAATACATGAGTCAGTGGAACAGTGTAGAGTCCAGAAGTAGAGCCACTCAATGATGGTCGATTGATTGTCATTGGAGTTGCAAAAGCAATTCAATAGAGAGAAGATTGTTTTATCAGTGGTACTAGAACAATTGGCGTTCATATGCCAAAGAACAGCAAAAAATACTCAACCTGCGTCTCACATCTCATAAAGAAATCAACTTAATGAACTGTGACTTTCTGAATTATCCATGCTGTTACCTAGGACAAGTTAAGTAGGGCATGTTGGGGGTGGGGCGGGGGGAACGAGAACGTTTCTTTGTCAAAGAAAAGCAAAACATCCAGTAGCATCTTAAATTCTCAGAATAGAAATACATGTAAAATCATGTAAGAGTCTCTAAGAGTCTCATGTTAATAAAGGAAATCGCTATTTTAAAGAATAATTTTTGGAAATCTGCTAGGAATTAGTAATTCATACAGAATTTATTGGAAAGTAGAGATGTTAGAAATCATGGGCACGGGCTGGGGATGTGGCTCAAGCCGTAGCGCGCTCGCCTGGCATGCGTGCGGCCCGGATTCGATCCTCAGCACCACATACCAACAAAGATGTTGTGTCCGCCGAGAACTAAAAAATAAATATTAAAAATTCTCTCTCTCTCTCTCTCCTCTCTCACTCTCTCTTTAAAAAAAGAAAAAAGAAAAAAAAGAAATCATGGGCACATTTTTTTGCCGCCTATATTTAAAAATGTATAAATATACAAGGGCTACCCAAAACAGCCTCACTCAGCCTTTCATTACTATAGACAGCTAATGAAAGATCTTGAACAGTGTTAATATGATCTCTTTGCATCTTTGTTGTGAATTTTTTCTTATGAATATCCAAAGGTAGTCCTAATTTCTTTTTAAGAACTATTGGTAGCCTTTAAGGTTAAATCAAATGAATAATCAGAAGCAAGGTAAGGAGTCTCATTTTATTTTCAGTGAGTGTTATTTTTCTTGAGTCATATGGAGCCTGTGGGAGTGGACTCATGAAGACCCTAGCCTAAATAGAAAGTTAATTTTATCTCTGATAAGCCTGCCAACATTGTTGGGGAAATTGTTGAAGACATTTTTATATAAAATTCTTTTTCTGTCCCTATTTCAGAGCTGTGACAGAGAGCATCAATCAGCTCATCACCCTGTGCACCCAGCAAGCCCCTGGGCAGAAGGAGTGTGATAACGCCCTGCGGGAGCTTGAGGTAAGTCCCTGAAGGGCCCTAAGGATGGAAGAGTGCATGTGCACAGGGGACTGGTGTCTCTCTTCTTCCCTACATGGCGAGGTGTTTTCCTCCTTTGTCCTTGCCTTCTGTCTTTCCTGGAAGACAATTGAAGCCAAAGTTCCCATCCAGGTCCCAAGGAACTAAAAAGAAATTAGATTTCATAGGATTATCATCAGTGCTCCCCTTTTTCTACTAGGCTAATATTTATTTTATTAAAGGATTCATTTTACACAGAAGAGCCCTGTGGTATTGACCGTAGGCTGCAGATGATCAATCTTTGCCTAAAAAATACTGGAGAGATTCTTCTGGGACAATTGGGGAAGAAAGAGAGGCTGAGATTAGTGTCACTTTCAATAAAATGATTTCCCTGTATGATTTATTCTGTAACACGTAGGGGCACACGGATGAGACCAGGAATAACACCACTACAGAGTCAGGCTATGGGGCTCCTAGTGGCCCAAAATATAGTTGTGCTTTTAAATTTGTATTCATGGTGGTGTATTTATAATAAAAAAAATATCCATGTGTGCTTATAGAATGTATGTGGATAAACATACATCAGTGTTTCCATTTATAGGCAGAGCAGACCTCACCAATGCAGGTCCTCCTGGTTATCTCAAGAGATAAATTGGTTACACCCAGTGCTCCTTTAGTTTTCTGGATGATTCACATGGGTCTGGCATGGTGGAAATAACTGTGGAAGCTTCTGAAGCATTTAATTAAGGCCCTGCCTGTTTATGGCAATAGGCCATTGTGCACAGCTGGAAATGAGAAGGGGATTGTTATCACAAGACTGAAGCATTCTGAAAGCAGTTGGGAATATTCCTTACATGGGTTGAATTGCTGTCTTGTTCTGCTCTGGTCACTTTTGCAAATATGCATGATGTGTGGACTGTTGATCTAAATGAACTCCATTGGCCTAGGTATACTCTGTGTTATTACAGTATCCTGGTTGCCAAAATTATTACTACTTCAAGATTTGCAGTACTAAAACAATTCTGATTAACCAAGGAGCAAGAAGAGATTCTTCAGTGAGAGGAGCTTCTCCTTTCCACTGCCTTTTTCTCCTTGCATCTCTCACTGAACAGCTCAGTCTTTCCCATCACTCCCCACCCATTGGAACTCAGATGCCATTATCATTTTGTTGGCTGCTTGGTCCTACTATCAGAGGGAAAGAGATTGAATAGGTGCATTCCCAGGCCCTCCTCCCCAAACCCTCCTCCCCTGGAAGAGTACCTCACAAACCATGATCCAAGGCCATTACACCAAGAAGGCTCTTGATGTTTTTCATGATTTGAGAGACAGAGAAGCAGGCCCATACCTATTTCCCTGATGGGGACTGAAATAACTGTGGACATTTTTTTCTTTTAATATTTTTGGTTGTCAATGGACACAATACCTTTATTTCGTTTATTTAGTTTTATGTGGTGCTAGGGATCGAACTCAGGACCTCATACATGCTAGGCAAGTGTTCAACCACTGAGGTACACCCCCAATCCCATTTTTTATTCTCTTAAAACTCAAAACAAATGAACCATCCCAACAGGCAGCTTTGGGCAATTAGCTTCTTTTTCATGCCCCTCACTGAATGGTTCCAGAATCCAAATATGGGGGATTCTTATTAGTGATAAAGAAGTGAATCAGTGAGTCCTTGGAATCTAAACTCCTTAGAGTTTTCCAGCAGAGAAGTTATGTTCATTGACCATGAATATGTTGCCTTGCATTAATGTCTAAATTTATTTATTTATTTTTTAAATCTCTGCTTCCTCAACAAAACTGAAACAAGAGATTCTCAGTTCTGGCAAATCTATCCTGAGACTCCTCCAACCCCAGTCAGTCTTGAGTTGCAGGAAATCTAAAGTCATGATATCAGGATCTCAGTTCCTCTTAAGAATCTAAGTGAATGAGCACTTGTGACTGGAATCCTGTACGGAGAGGGGAAGTTGATAGTTGGCATTTTATGTTGAATCTTTATTTTTCTTTTGGAGGATGATGGGCACTGGAAATTGAACCCAGTGACCTTTACCACTGAGCTACATCTCTAGCCCTTTTTATTTTTTGACAGGATCTCACAAAGTTGCTGAGGGCTTCACTAAATTGCTAAGGCTGGCTTCAAACTTACAATGCTTCTGCCCCAGCTTCCTGAGTCACTGAGATTATAGGCATACACCCCATTCAATCTTTCCTATTGTATGCCTCTCGCTCACTTTTTAAGTTGTGCTCTCCTTTCTAGACTGTCAAGGGGATGTTGGACAATCCCAATGAACCTGTTAGTGACCTCTCTTACTTTGACTGCATTGAGAGTGTGATGGAAAATTCCAAGGTAAGCCTGTCTGTGCCACAGTCCAGAAGTTCACACTGCTCCTCAGTGGGGGTGGATCTGCCCTTGGCCACTATATGGCTGCATGTATGGAGAAGCCTTACTGTGGAGCCCGGTGCCCAGGGGCTTCTCAAACCTTAGCATGCATTAGAATCATTTAAAGGGTTTGCTAAATACCAATTGCTAGCCCCACTCCCAAGTTTCCTATTCAGTAGATCTGAAATGAAGTTGAGATTCTGCATTTCTAAGAAGCTCCCAGGTCCTGTCTGCTGGTCCAGGAACCATACTTTAAGAACCATTGCATCTATCATATCACAGATGGTATGGGTGACACTGTGAATCAAATCATTTGTGACCTACTACTGGCACTTCACTACTATAGGAAGTCCTATGGCATTTTGGCCTACATGAGATCCTTTGGAGTATTCTTTTTGCCATCCAACCATGGTGTGCATTCTCAAGGGAATGAAATATTCTTGTTTTTTGGCAAGGGATGGGGAAGTGTTAGAAAAATATAATGTCATGGCTTATGGGCTTTTGCCACATTAATCTTACTCAACAAAATTTTATTAAGGTGGTGTTTAGGAAAAGAAGTCTAAAAAGACTCCTTAGCGGAACCATTATGGAAAAAAATAAAAATAAAACTGTGAGAAACACTGATCTGTGATTATTATGTCAGTGTCTTTTGAGAACAAGTCAAAATCAGAAGATGACCATGAAATGCAAATGAGATGAATGACTGTCAGGCTGTTGCCATCTGGCTTTGTAACATGGTACATGATCTTCCACATTAGCTTGTGGAGATATCTGTATTGGTAATGTCTGGAAGATTTTGTTTGTGTTAGGCTTAGACTAGAATTTCTTCTGTCCTGCATATTTTGTGGAATTATGGGTTGTCTAAGGGGAGGATGCATGTGTTTTACATGCTCAGATCCAAAGAAATGAAGAATGCAGTGTTAGGAGGGAGGAGGGAAACAAAAATACTCTCTAACTTCTTGGATTTGCAAGTCCTCATGTAAGCTAAGCACTTTTAGGGAATTTATTTCATTTACCTATCCAAGATGGCTGATTGGAAAATGAAAGAGCTCTGCGTTGGGTTTTAGACTTGGTGATAACCATAGTCTCCAAAGAGTGAATGTCCTTCCATACCCTCGTCTGTGATCCTGGGAAGCACCCCTGTCCTCCTGGTACATGACAAGGCCCATAGAAGACAGAGCAGCAGATTTAGTGTAGATGACCTCCCTCTACCCATGTGACCTCATACATGGTATTTGACTGCTCTGGGTTGGATTCTGAGTCCTTTTCAACTGTTATTTTTGAGGACTGAAAAAAGAATACACCAGGGATTTTTAAAATAAGGCAAAAATACTTAAAATATTTAGGAAACATCTTTAACAAATATCTACTTAAATTTGACTGTCAATAAGTAAATGGATGATTCCCAGAAGGGTACATATTCTACTTTCTGAGTAGGACTTCAACTACAGCTCGATGGATGTGATTTTTATATTCTGGGAACTAATAGTTCTTAAATTGGGCTATTTACCCATGAGATGCCATGTATAGATCATACTTTCATGTCTGTGTGTATTAACTGTATCTCTTGATGTCTACATAGCTTTTAGATGAAAGATTCATACTTTCATTATTTATTTCTCTTTATGAAACATAAATAGTATAATCCTCCTGAATTACTTCCTAATGGAGAATGGAAAATAATATAAATTAAGTGACCTTGAATGTTTAAGTTGCAAGTGTAGCTTTCTGTATCCCTGCATCTGAAACAGTCTCAGCACAGAATATCTCTGGTTGTTTTACAGGTTTTGGGAGAGTCAATGGCAGGAATTTCACAGAATGCCAAGACAGGGGACCTCCCTGCCTTTGGGGAGTGTGTGGGGATTGCATCCAAGGCGCTCTGTGGGCTGACAGAGGCTGCAGCTCAGGTAAGGGGCTGGTCCATGAAGGTTTTCCAGGCTAGTGCCCTTTGCCATACAGTGGATACCAGGAGTGACCACTCCCCTGTGGGAGGCATGGGAGAGCTCCAGCTCCTTCTCCAGGTACCACCATAGAAACCATGGGAGTTCCTGCTGGCGGGACATTCCCACAGGCTTCTGGGAGCCTGAGCTCTGGTTTTCTCCTCCTTTTTCAGGCTGCATACCTGGTCGGCATCTCTGATCCAAATAGCCAGGCAGGACACCAGGGCCTGGTGGACCCCATCCAGTTTGCCAGGGCTAACCAGGCTATCCAGATGGCATGCCAGAACTTGGTGGACCCTGGTAGTAGCCCATCACAGGTAACCACATGGGTTGTGTTATTCCTTAGGCTCCTCTGGGCGGGTTGAAGGAAACTATGGGAAATTAGTAAAGAATCCTATTCTTTGAGAGTTCTCAAAGCCAGTTAAATATACTGTAGATATAGACCCTGGAAGATGTTGAAAAACGTGGTAAAAGCAGAAATTTGTAGGTGGTCAGAGATAGGGAACTGGAAGGCAGAAGGAGAAAAAGAATCCCAGTGATATACATGAGGAGTCCCACAACTCCACAAAATCCAGGGTACAGTCACGGGGGGCTTGCTCTGTGCTCAGCATTGAGGGCTCAACATGAGTGACACCTGATCTTCCACCTGCTTGCCTCCTAATCTTTTGGGCAAAGTTTGGAAAATTCAGCATTCGGGGTGTTATGACAATGCCAGAGATGATGGCAAAGAGGCCTGCCCCAGAGTCAGGCTCAGAATCCATAGCATAGAAAGGAGCCAGAGAGACCACCTGGACTGATGCAGCTGAGACCTGAGTGTCCAGGCACCTGAGAGGCCTTTCTTATCCCGTGAAGGCCACAGGGGTGGTAAGAGCCCCAGCAAAGTGGAGGCTGGGGATTTAAGAGAGCAGAGGGGTTGAGGTTTGTGGGGAGCCTGTGGAGATTCCCCAAGCCAGAGCCCTTCATCAGATGCTGCAGTCCACCCAAGGAGGAGCAGAATGCAGGCCACTGCGACATTTGTTTTACTCATCTAGACCTGGGCTCTCCCATGTGGTGACCCCTGACTACCTTGAAATGTGGTTGGTGCAAATAGTGAAAAGCTGTAAATATACAAAATACACTGGATTTCAAAGACTTGGTATGAACAAAAGTATAAAATTTCATTAACAGTATTTGTACATTGATTTTTGTGATAAATGAATTTTTTGATATATCAAGTTAAATAAAATATGTTATTTAAATTTCTCTTGTTTCTCTACTTATTTTAATGTAGTTACTAGAAAATTTTAAGTTACATATGTCTAGGCTTTGGCCTGACCCTGGACCTCCTATCAAGGCGTTCCAAGGACTAGCTAACCATGTCCCCTTTAAGATTGTCTGAGGCCCAGCCTGCTACATGAGCACTTTCTTCCCCTTTCTATTTATTTCCATTCTCTCTTGCTTAATGTTTCTTGCCCTCTCCTTTCTTGGAGTGCCTTTGGGGGCAGCTGAGCTAGCCATATTATTGCCCAGGTTCTGGACATGGGAGTTGAGGAAGCTTCCAGGCACTCTGCACTGAAGTGTGGGGTGCCCCCAACCTCACCCCATGCTTTGTAGGTTCTGTCAGCTGCCACAATTGTGGCCAAGCACACCTCGGCTCTCTGCAATGCCTGCCGCATCGCCTCATCAAAGACAGCCAACCCTGTGGCCAAGAGGCACTTTGTCCAGTCAGCCAAGGAGGTCGCCAACAGCACTGCCAACCTGGTGAAGACCATCAAGGTAGGTCACTGTACCACAGGCCCCATTGGTCCCTGTAACACCTGTTGCAGAGCAGTCAGAGGAATGGGGTTGAAGCTCTGCCCTCCTAAGACCTAAGGCTGGTGAGGTTTAACCTCTGACTCGGTCTTCAAGGAGGAGTTCCTCACTAATGGAGATACTCGTCAGGAAAAACCAGCAACCTGTTCTACTAACATTTCAGATGATAGGGAAATTCTGCACATGAGGTGCTTGGGGACATAAATTGGGTTGAAGGATTGTTTATGGGGACTCTTAGCCCTGTGCACAGGTAGTACTTAAACTCTGTTGATTTAGGATGGGTTTGAGTGGACTGGTAGAGGCTCTGCCATTCTTGCTAAGGTGATGAATCTGGATATATTTGGATAAAGAGTAGATATGGAAGGAAAAGAAAATGGGAAATTATGGGGGGGGAAATCACTTTTTCAAAAACTGTTTTAATCTCTTTGATATGTATTCTAGTTATATCTGTTTCCATTTTCTTTCTTTTTTTAGTGGAGCATCAACTTTTCTGAGTATTCTGTGTTTCTAACAAGCTTATCTTTATGTTAGAGCTCTTGGGCAGATGGGGATGGGGCAATGTATGAGGTGCACTTGCAAGGAAGGAATGGAGATGGCTAGGCTGTGGTCTTTGAAGGTGAGTGAGGAGGCCATGTGGTCTGCCCTACGTGGAGACCAAACAGGCAGCTGGGAGCTGACCTTGTGGGAAAACATCCAGCACCCAGACAGCAGACCACAAAGCCCCCCACCCCATCCCCAGCCTTCAAAGGAGCATTGTCATGGGAGGCAAGGCACCAGTTCTGTGTAAGCCTGGAGTGCCCAAAGAAAAACACTGGATGTGGTAAAACTTTATTTTGGGGCTTTCACACTCTCTCAGGTGAGGACTGTTTTGTTGTTAAGAGTGGACTCCTCCCAGTTTCCCCTGGAGGCCAGAAGTTAGTGAATAGAACTAGCTGAGCAAAGGCCAAAGGAGAGAGGATCCAGCCCAGGAGTGGCTAGAATCCGGCTGGTGAGAGCAGGGGGCCACTAGCCCAGTCAGCAATTTCTTAGCTGTTTCAACATAGGATTTTTTTGCTTGTTTATTTTTAAAAAGACTGTCTATTTCAAGGCAATAATAAACTAAGTTGAAAATGAATAAATACATTTGAACCAGTGCCCAGGTGCCCCATGCCTTCAGGTAGCAGCTGACCTCTGTTGCCATCAGTTCCTGGTATTAGCAATTAATGAATCTTAGATTTGTTAATGTTTATTTTGTGCTTTGTGTGTATTACTCATTTAATCCATACCACCATGGTGCATCTTATGGATGTGACACTGAGGACTAGAGAGGTTAAGTAACTAACTTTGCAAGGTGTGACTCAGCCAATAGTAATCGGTGAGAATTTAAATCCAGGCCTCAGAGAGCCTCTGCTTTCAACCCTGGCATAGAGATCAGTTTGTTGGGATGGAGAGAGAAACTGATGCCTCTAGCCTAGGAAGAAAGACTTACAGACAGTGCTTGTCTGTAAGAAACTTACAGACAGTGCTTGTCTGTAAGTTTGGAAGGTGGGGATGGCAAAGGCAATATAGTTTTAAGTAGTAACATCATTGTGGGTTGCTGCATAATTAACTTATCTCAGTTAAAGTCAATCATTTTCTGATTATTAAAAAACACATTATATTTAGACAGACTAAGGGAGTTGGGGGAGGGAAGGACCTCCTTATCCTATAGAAATTCCTGGAGCCCTGTCTTTTCTGTCACCACCTTGGTTTTAAATCCTAACCTATCTATATAAAACATCTCTGTTCAGATCACTTCTTTTCAGATTCTCCTCACCATGTCAAACCCTCTTTGCAATTCCCTGCAGCAAATGAGCTTGTGTGATGGCCTGAAAGATAGGCCTATGTATAAGCATCAGAAGAGGAGTGTAGGCTGGTTGTAACATGAACATAAAGACCTGTCTGCTATGAGCACCCTGGGAACTCATAGCAGTGCAAGAGGAGCAGAGATGAACATATTGCCCTTCACTCGTCAAAATGTGCCTGATTTTTCAATCCCCACCATGTAGCAGGGTTTACCAGAAGGATGAGCTTTGGCTTTAATTTACTATTATGACAATGTAAAAGTCCTTCATTGTAGCACTCAGTACTATATACTAAATAGATTTCCTATTTCAAGAAATGGCTAAGTATCCTGTCAAACAGAAAAGCAAATGAATATTTAATTCCCTGAACACTTAAGACAGCTGCCCTCCTGGCTACATTTTTCTCTAAATATTATGCCTCTTAGTGGTGATTTTTTTTAACTGTGAGGATGTGCCCAAGCATAATCCCAGCTGCCACACCCTTACAGTCATGAAAAGGGGTGGGGAATCAGCAAGAGAAGCACCAGGAGCAGGAGAATATGTAGAATGTGTGTGTCTGGGGACTTTAAATCGCTATTGGTGACATCCTTTAAAACCCCAAACATAGCAATGCAAGAATACATTTCTGCCCCAGTAATGGCACCAAATGCTGAGCAAGTGAGGACACCCATCCCTGATTGCGGATGCTGTCTCTCAACTGGTGAACCTACACCTTGCTGGCTTTTCTCTCTTTATTCTGTTCATTACCCAGCCTTGGATCGGTTCTGTGGAATGGAATGTTATTTTAAATGTGCAGTCACTCAGGTTTGGGTGCCAAGTATAAATTATGCAACACCAGCTTTTGTTTTTCTGAGAAATTAAAGTTTGGCCTTGCCTCTCTCCTTGGAGTTAAAGCTCAAGAGCTCTGCAGTTAAGCATTTCCAGTGTGTGCCACAGACACCCGATCCAGCTCTCTTTAATCAAATTTGACTTGGCTGTAAGTATGTTTTCCTGGTCATCCTTATGTTTGGATTGGCAAGATAGAAGTCCTCAGAAGAAAAAGGAGAAAACTGGGCTTCTTACTTTTTTTCTTCTTGCTCTTGCCTAAGGAGAGAAGGGATCCAGAGTCTTGGGTCATGGCTTAAGACATGCCAGTAAGTAGCAGGGTGACCTTGGCAAATTGTCACTTTTAAGGTTTATTGTTTGGAAAATCAGGTTTTACTTACTTACTTACTTACTTATTTATGAAAATTGGGGGTTTAGTGTTTCTCCCTCATGCCTTTGAGATTGTGCTGAGAACCTTCAGCAGCTGCCAGGGGTCCAGAATGCCCTTGTCCTGATGGGTCTGGGCATGAGGCCAGGTGAGTTTGCCCTTACATTAGTACAGCTGGTGTAAGGACATTCTGTGACGTATAATGTCTACAAGGAAACACATTTCCTCAGTGGGTGGATTCAAGTGTTCCGATTATTGGGGTGGTTCAGCCATGCTCACTGGAAGCAGAATTTAGGAGTGAAATTATATCTGTGCAAATTGTCCTTTCTGATGCCAAATGCTCCTTTGGAGGAAATGACTTTTCCTTTTATAAAACAGGGGAGGGAAAGTGATTGAGAGAGCTTGGCATTCTAGTCCATGTCATTCAGTGCCCTGTCCTGTGAATAGCGATGGGCTACATGACATGTGACTTTTAGGATCTATGCTTAAAAGCTAAACCCAAAACAACAACTATAAGGTTTTCTTCCAGCTAGTGCAGTTTATGGAACTGCATCATTAGATCATTTGAGAACTATTTCTTGACTCCTTGGGATTTATCTCAGGTCATCGGCTTTAAGTTGGTGGCTTAATGAACTGCTTTGTTTCCCAATGGACTAAGGGCTGTGGGAGTCGGGAAAGGCTGTGGAGCAAGTACAGAGTTGAGAGGCAGGAGGTATGAGCAGTACCAAGGGAAGGTTGAACATCTTCTGCCCAGTAGAAGCCCTTGTCATTCCAAGAAGTGTCATTTGTGTAACGTGGACCCAACCTCTTGGGACTCCAAAGCCCTCTCTGGCTGTCTGCTTGCTTCATTCATTTGCCTATGCTAGGTTCACTTGTATAAGGCTTCTGCCAAGTGTCATCCACCCTGCCTTCCACGAGGAGTCCCAAATGTCCCTGAGGCCTAGTGCACCCAACCTTGAGGAGTCCGTGATGTTAGCAGTGCAACAGGAACAGCATGCTGAGACTACATGGCCAAGCTGGCTGTGAAAATTAACATTTACTAGGTATATAAGTGGCAGTTAAGAGACGAGACCGTACATGTGAGCAAGAAGGAACAGGCATGTACAGTTTCCGCTGAGCATATAAGAGTGGCCAAATCAGAGACGGTAGAGGAAGGCAGTGTCTGTCAAGTGCCTGTAGGACAAGAGCCAAGGCAAGCCAGGCGCCATATTCGCACAAGATGGTAAATTAGCCCAGCTCATGGGAATTACTCTGAAAATATTAGCATTGTGGATGTATAATTACTGACCCAAGCTGCCAAGGCTCGATTGGAATGCAGTTATTATTCAGAAATAGCCTTCAAACCGACCATGCCTGCCTCCTCTTGCCTTATTGAAAAACAGAATATTCCTGTCTCAGACCCAGTCTGCTGCGTAATGCAAGTGGCTCTGGTTTTTTTGTTCACTAATTGTCTAAATTGGCTTTTATATATTGTTCATAAGGATTAAATTAAAAGTTTAATTGGTAGTCTAACAAGGAAATTTACATTCTCCTGCAAGCATAACTGCCTTCTCACGTGGAGCCCTTTGCTAGGAGGTAGTAGTGCTGTCAATGGGTCACAGGCTGTTGGACCTAATATGCCTAAAGGGGTAGAGTCAGGTGCTGAAGTCCGGTGCTGGGAAGCCTTGAATCCAAGTGTTAACCCTTTGTGGGCAGCTGGCATGGATCACAGTCTACTCCTGGATTCTCATCCACTCTGGCCATTACTCAGTGATATGACTGATCACTAGACTCTTATGTTACCCACGCTAATTTTGTTTTAAAATAAAGCATAAGATACCTGGAGAAAAACACACCTCATGTGTAGAACTCAATAAAATTTCTCAATTTTTCAAACACAGTAAGTAACGATTTCTGGATCTAGAAACAGATCTGTACAGTGCCTAGAAAGCCCTCTTGTGCTGCCTTGGGGTCCACCAGCTTTAGAGTGACCTGAGAACATCCTTGATTACTTTCACCTGTTTTTTGTACTTTGCGCAAATGGGATTGTATACAGTGTCCCCCTTTGTGTATGGCGTTTTTCGTTAAATATACAGTTAGTGAGATTTGTCCTTGTGGTTTTGAAGGTAGTTCCTGCCTCTTCTTTCCTATTGGGTTCCACTGTGTTCATTCCAAGATAGTGGTTGCCAGCCCCACCTCCATCTGCCATGTAGGAGCATCTAGGTAAAACTTAGATAAATTGAAACTGCCACACAGTGTACATTGTCTTTGTCACTTGGGAGGGGGGAATAGACTTAATATGCATGTAAATGAAGGAAAGGAGCCCAAGGATTATATTCTTGAAAGTGATTTCTGCAGCCAGATTTGACAGCAGGGCCCAAGTGAGAGAGAAGAGCAGGCGCTGTTTAAGTGGTTTCTGCTTCCTGCAGGGGAAGCATGGTTTCTGAATGGGAGTCAACTGATGCTGAGGCCAGCTGTCCTATAAGGTACATATCTGACCTTTTTTATTAAGATTGCTAGCTGGGCTCCTCTGATCCATGGCAGGAATCTCTCCAATTTGTAAATTCAGCAAACATTTTCAGTGTTACTCCCATTTAACCATCTTTCTTCCCTCAGAAGCAATCCCTGTGGCTTAGAGATGATTGGTGCTTCTCAGTGGGATGAAAGATCCTTTTTTCTCCCACTAGGCCCTGGATGGGGACTTCTCTGAAGACAACCGCAATAAGTGCCGTATTGCCACCGCGCCCTTGATTGAAGCAGTAGAAAACCTAACAGCATTTGCATCAAACCCTGAGTTTGTCAGTGTTCCCGCCCAGATCAGCTCTGAGGTAAGGAACCCTTTCCAACAACCAAGGTCATTGGTTAATCTGGGGTAGCACAAAATGAACATGAGTAGTTAAAACTTCAAAATTTCTCTTTGTCATCATGTAGGGTATTGTTATTTTTGATGGTGATACATGCAAAGAGTTATGAAACTCAGTGATTATACATCTCTTGAGAGATAATATTGTTATATTAAGAACAATCTCTGTGCCTAGGTTTTGGGCTGATTCTTTCTTGGGATGTGTGATTCTAAAAATTTTTATTTAAGGAGCAAACATGGATCAAAGTGCCCATCATCCAAACCTTGTATAAGCGAGAGGACAGAGATGGTGACTAGATAAGCAAAAGACTTTCTAGGACCTGACTTATTCACTCATGTCTGCATGCCCTGCCCTTAACCTCTCTGCTGTTTGGTCTCAGGGCTCCCAGGCACAGGAACCAATCCTGGTCTCAGCCAAGACCATGCTGGAGAGCTCATCATACCTCATCCGCACTGCACGCTCTCTGGCCATCAACCCCAAAGACCCACCCACCTGGTCTGTGCTAGCTGGACATTCACACACTGTATCTGACTCCATTAAGAGTCTCATCACGTCTATCAGGTCAGTTGCTATCTGGAGATTGCTTTCAACCTGCATCGAATAGGGAGGAAGGGAATAAGCCCACTAAGCTTTTAACTTTATGTTGTCATCTTTTTCTTTGTCTCTAATAGCACTTAACTATACACCAGATTTATTCCAAGTATTTTACCTATGTCACCCTATTTGATCATCATAATATTATAAGGTATATACTGCCGTGTTTCCATTTTACTAATGAAAAAATTCAGGCAAAAAGATTTAAATGACGTTTCCATAGTCACCCCAGGCTGTAGGTCCTAGCTCTTCTAACCAGTATACCTTATTGTCTACACCCAGGCTTTTAGGCAGAGAGTATTACAGTTTGTTTTGCAGAATTTGGGGTTCTAATTAGTTTGATAATAAGATTTTAAAAAAAAGACATTCTATAGTCCACAGTAATTTGGGGCATCTAGGACAACCTTGGTGATGGTAGGACGCTGAAAAAAAAAAAAATCACCTGAATATATGAAACATTTTTGAGGTTAGCCAAAGTTAATACCCAACAGCATGGAATGGATTTAGCTCCCTAATTATTTTTTGTTCTGGTTGATTTTGAAGCTAAAAACCACAGTTAACTTTTTGTTAATGACATTCAAATGACTTTCATTAAATATTTTAACTAGTACAGCCCATGAGTTTGTGACTAGTATGCAATGTAGAGAATATAGTATATTTGTGCTGAAAAGAGTTCTTAACTTTTATTATTATTATTATTATTATTATTATTATTATTACTATTTTATTAAAGGTCCTATGTTTTTTATTATTATTTTACTAAAGGTCCTATGGGTAGTACCAGGGATTGAACTCATGGGCACTTGATCACTAAGCTACATCCCCAGCCCTATTTTGTATTTTATTTAGAGACAGGGTCTCACTGAGTTGCTTAGCACCTCACTTTTGCTGAGGCTGGCTTTGAACTCATCATCCCCCTGCCTTGGCCTCCAGAGCCACTGGGAGGCCATACCCAGCCTGAAGGTCCTTTGTTTAAGTCACTGAATAGAGAAAACAAGTTCAAACCATTTCCTTTGCAGTTGCCTGGCATTAGCCTGAGATAGAGGGCAGTACTAATATCCTTTCCGCCAGAAACACATAGAGTTATCTCAATGCCAAATTAAGACCTGCCTGGGCTCTGCCAGGAGGAATTGCCAAGGAAGGGTCAGAGATTCACTTCTCATTCAAGCGAGAAGGGGATGGGGTTCCTAGCTCACCAATGCTGGAGCAATTTCTGGGACTTAAGACCCTACCTTGTGTTTGATTTGCACTGTCCCTTCCAGGGACAAGGCCCCTGGGCAGAGGGAATGTGACTACTCCATTGATGGCATCAACCGATGTATCCGGGACATTGAGCAAGCCTCTCTGGCAGCTGTCAGCCAGAGCCTGGCAACGAGGGACGACATCTCTGTGGAGGTAGGCTAGGGTTCTATGGCCAGCTCACTGGGGCAGGGAGCAGAGAGAATGGGATCAAGATATTCCTAATACTAGTTTTATCATTGGACCTTCTCCTGTAGAACCAACCTGGGAAGTTTCTGGGAGAGGGGAAGAAAAATGCTGAGAAGAAAAGGATGACTTGGGGAAGGAATATACCTAGCTGTAGAAAGCTCAAATGTGGCTGAAATTTGGGGGGAAATTATCAGTCAGATAATTGGGTCTCTCTAAGGTGGGGTTGCCTTATGCATTTTAACACATCAGCACAGCAGGCCTAGCCATGTAGATTTTGAATGCTTCTCTTTAGTCTTAGTTCATCAATGCACTTTTTGGTTAAAGGGAAGATTTGGCATTAAACTCTTCATTCAAAGATAAAGGATTCTGCCTAGTATGTTAGGGACCTTTTGTATCTTGTTATTAACTTAAAGCCACTTTATCCTTTCTTGATGGTTTTTCCAAAGCTTAGAGTGGAATTTTCCTTTGAATTGTTTCTGTACCTATGTACATTTTCCTGATTCATTTTTCATTTTCTTTTAAAGCACTGTGCTTGATACTCCAGAGGTACTTAATACATATGTATACATGGTCTGTGTGCTGACATTTACATCACTGCCACTGAATTCATTAACCATGAGCTTCGGCCCCTTTCTCTCAGGCCCAGGCAGGCTTGCTCATTTTTTCACTCCAACTTCAGACACACACCCATTTCCAGGAAGTGAAGAAGAAGAAACATTCTCATCTATGAAGAATGCCAGAATGACTGTCGTAATCTGTTTAAAGTGTAGTATTCATACAGAAAATGCACAGAATGTGTATATCTTTATGATTAGCACCAGCTGAACACACTCTGTAATTAGCCCCCAGATCAACAAGCAAAGATAACCAGCATCTCAGAAAGCCCCTTGGTGCCCCATCCTTTCACTATCACTCCCAAAACATATCCTGTCTGAACTTCCTCACTAGGAAGAAAATTCCCCCTCCAATTGCATACACTCCCCCTAGTTAGACATATTCAAGTTAACAAACCACCTGTGATGAAAAAACATTGCTAGAATATTCTGGTATTCTTAACTATATTCACATAATAAATGCGAAGATAAGTAATTAGCTGAATACAGCCTCATCTCTGTAGCTGTTTGTTTTCCAGCTGACACATTAGGCATCCCATCCCCTCTCAGAGTAAACTCTGGCTGAAGCCTCGGCCCCTGGGCACCATTGTTCTATGGGGAAGTGGCAAAAGTTAGAGTCTCATTTTTTATCAGCAGAACATGCCACTATGTCAGGAATCACCTAATTCCATGTCAGCATGTGTGGACCTAAAATGTCCAATGTTCTAAGCTGCTCAATCCCAAATCTCTCCAGTGAAGGATCCCTACAAAGGAATCAGATCTCTTCTGCTACTGGCTAATTATTTCCTGATTTGAGTTCAATGCCCCATCTCTTTACAGCCTCTTTACAGTTCTTTGAGGTGGAGAAGTTAAGCCATCTCAAATGCAAGAAGAAAAGCCTTGAGGGCGCCATTTTCCACCTTTGTGCACACTCCACCAAGTGCATTGAGCTCTGGACTGAGCTCAGTGTGTGTCCCACCTGGCATTTTCGAATTATGCCATGGGGGAAGTAGTCCTGCTTTCAAAGAGCTGATCTCATTTTTACGTCACCCTTCTCAAGTTCTGAGAACACAGTGACCTGGATGTTCCCTCAGACCCCAATTATCTGTCTCCATTTGAACATAGTTGTCTTTCCTTCTTGGAAAGCCACAGATATTCCATATTTCCAGTAACTGTGTTGAATAACCTAAAGTAAAGATACCACTGGCATCAGTTGTCAGGGCTAGGAGGAGCAAGGAGCCAGTAGAACCCACAGTTCTTAAGCTTGCATCTGCTTTCTTATGGGAAGAATGATGAGCTGCCACTGGGCAGGGCAGGATACCTACAGCAGCTTGATGTTGCAGCCTGGCATTTTGATGTCCATTTTATGTGGTCTCCCTCGTCTTTCATGTAAGCCTTTTCAAATCAGTGCAGTGTTATGGGGAACTGTTGTCAGATGAACTTGACAGTTCTCCCCTTATCAGGCCCTACAGGAGCAGCTGACTTCAGTGGTACAGGAAATCGGGCACCTTATCGATCCCATCGCCACAGCAGCTCGGGGAGAGGCAGCGCAGCTGGGACATAAGGTAATGTACATGTACCAAGGGAATCCTGCTGGGGATTTGGGGGGTAATGGATTTTGTTTTCATTCTTGAAAGCCTGCCATGCCAGGTATCATGCCTGTGTCTAGTGCATCTCTGACAACAGAAAATAGCACTCAGCCTTTCTCTAGCCTCTTTTCCAAAAATGAACACTTCAGGATCCTTTTTTCACTTGAAGCTGAGAAAGTTCATAGTGAGTTGTTTTGGTGTGGGTTATGGTTGTGGTCAAACTTTTCCTCCAATAAGACATTTACCATCACCCATTGCTCTCCACTTATTCTAAAATAAACCAGAGGCTAATGCTGACACTCCTCACCCATAGGCTTCTATCTTTTATTCCCGGCCATCTCAGCCCATTCTGGTGTATCTAGGGCAATAATGTTCTTCCCTAGTTTCTAATGCAGCATCTGTTGTTACATGTGATGGAGCAAAGCAAATTTTTTTCTGGACAACAGAGCCTCCCTGCATGGCCTCCCCAGAGGAGTCTTTCAGCTGAGTTCCTGCCCATACTTAAAATAGCAGATGATGTTTTGCCCATTTGGGGTTCACTCTGCTGACCCTTCAAGGAGAGCTGGCTTGTCATGCAGCCTATACCTTAGCAGGGAGAGACCAAAAATTGGATTCTAATAGCCTTCAAGGTTCCTGAGCATTGATCAGTTCAGCAGTCAGTATCGCTGTGCACATCAAGAAGTGCAGTAGCCAAAATTTTCTTAGCAGGTATTGATTTTAGAAAATCAATCATCTTGCTTTTTCAAATTACAGAAAAGTTTAAGGGACTACTAAACTTCCTCCTGGCTCTAAGGAGGGGTAGTTGAAATTGGTCAGCATCTCTGCCTTTTCAAATATGGCATATCTCATTTGAAAGAAAGAAAGAGAAATCCAAAGACCTTTTTTTCAAACAAGATAACATTCAGATTCCAGGGATTTGGATTTGGATGTGGGCATATCTCTTTGTTTTGTGTTTTTGTCAATTTGTATTGTTTGTTACAGTTCTACACTATATTTGGGTTCATTTTGACATTATACAAGCATAGAATATAATTTGCTGCAATTCAGTCACTGTTACTTCCTCTCCTCCCTCCCCCTTATCCCTTTCCTATACTCTGATGATCTATTATAGTTCTTAAAAAATTTTAATTAGTGCATTATGGATGTATGTAAAGGTGAAATTTGCTGTGGTATATTGATATATAGATATGGGAAATTTGGTTGGACTAATTATAAACAACATCTTGGCTGATATGAAATCATTTTGCATTATTTAATCCAGAGCTAAGGCTTTATCCAAATGCTTCAAGCAGAACCCAATTAGACTGGCCTCTTAAAAAGCTTTTGAAGTTTCTCTTTATCTCAGGCTTCTTCTCTTACCTTCTCTGATAATCCTGTCCCTCTTCTACTTTCTCTTCCTCTGAGTTTATAAGATGCCTTTGATTTCTATTAAAAATTACTTGTAAAATTAATGATTTATAAAATTGAGTTCAATTCTGATGCCTAAGTCTAGATCTCAGAATTGATTTCTTAGCACTTCTATCATGTTTGGAAAAGAGATAAAAAACTTTCCAAAGGAAATCAAAAGCAAGCAATAGTCAATAGCCAGCAAGTACTTTCAAAAGTACATAGTAGCAGGCCTGCATTTCTTCCTGAATCAGCTCACCCCTTTTCCCAATCCACTCCCACTGAAAGGTACTCTGAAGGAAACACCTGTACTTAAGTGATGTACCTATGACTTTCCATTCTTGCAAGGTGACACAGTTGGCAAGCTACTTCGAGCCCTTGATCTTAGCTGCAGTAGGTGTCGCCTCCAAGATTTTGGACCATCAACAGCAGATGACAGTGCTGGACCAAACCAAGACACTGGCAGAGTCTGCCCTGCAGATGCTGTATGCAGCCAAAGAAGGTGGAGGAAACCCCAAGGTATGGTTCAGGATGTCAGAGACTCACTTAGAACCACAAAGGTCCTGGTCCTGCCGTATTGTCTCTCTCTAAGGAACAAAACATTACTCCAGTTCTCTGAAGTGGGGAATCATCTTCTATTATTGGTTTTCCCAGGGATTTGGGGGGCATTAAGAAGTGTACATAATTAAGTCTTATCTGTAAGTTATTTTTTCCTTAAAGAATGTATAGACAAGCATCCTTGAGGGAAAAAATGAATTCTGTGATGATGACAGGAATAAAAGCAAATGCTTACTGGGACCTGTTCAGTGTTGACACCAACTTGCAGGAAGGAAAATTCAGTTGTTTTCCAGTGAATGTCATTTCTGTTTCTCAGACTTAAGAGACAGCAATTTCATATGATATCCCCTTTGCCAGTTTGTAGAAGGAACATTTCTTCAGCCTGTTATGTAACCCAGCTGCTTTAAGTGGCCAAGGATTACAATAGTGTGTCACAAGTGACTTTGTATCACATTTTATTTTGAACTTGGGAAGAGGGAAAAGTATATGCAAAGCCATATGTAGGGTTACAAAGAAAAAAAAACAAAAGATTGTGATTATCTTCAGAAGATGGTAAGCAGTCTGATGTGTCTAGAAAAATGCAGATCACAAAGGTAGCTGGACAAGAGGATAGACTGTGCCATGCTGTGACAGATCTCCTCTTCCAAGCCAAGGTATTTGACCTTTATTGTAAGCAATGGGCAGTCAGTGATGGTCTTTAAGCAGAAGAATGACACAACCAATCCATATTTTAGAAACAACTCACTGTGACAGCATGAATAATGTCTTAAACCTGAATTTTCTATATTTAGGTTTTCATTCAAATATCTGACCATTAATTACTAAGAGCCTAATTCTGGGTATGCTAAAAGTACTAAGAGCCTTGGCCCTCAAAGTGTGCAGAGTCCTTTGGAATAACAAGTCTAGTTGCAAAACTGGTAGAGTAGATCAAGAAGGACAAAGAATGCAGCCCTGACTGTGATAGATTAGCAGTAGGTGCCCTGATGTGGGGCCAGCCCTCTTTGTACCCTCTCCAAACTAGAGGAGTCAGAGCTAACCTTCTGACACAGCTCTGGTTGTCTTTTATCCAAGGCTATTTATTGCCACATTTCTTCACCCTCCACCTAAAAGGGTCTCAGGACCAATAGAATATCAAAATAGGACTCTTCTGGATGGGTTAAGATGTTAGCATATCTGCTTGGACAGCCAGTTCTGAGCTCCTCTTGGTCGGGAGCATACATAGTCAGCATCACAAGCTTCATAATGGCGTTTTCTGCTTGGAATTGGTGGCCAGAATAGTTTTCACTGAGGGACCAGAAGCACTGGGTGTGGTGAAGTAAGACATGATGAGTAAAGGCCAGGCAGGTGTACTCTGTCCCCTCACCAATACCCAACCTGCATTTGGTCTACAAATTGAAGGCTTGTCCCAAAAGACACCTGGGCCACTGGGTTTGCTTTTTAGACCCTTTCCTAAGAGGTCAGAGGCATAGACAACCAATTTAGGTGGATACTTACTGGGTTTTATTTGCATTACCTGTTAATTTTCTTGTTGACAGAAAAAAAAATAGGACTAAAATGTTTTTAAATAGTTTTCAGTAGTTCTTATTTGGTAGAAAATAGCACACTTCTGGGATCAGACATAACTGGATTCAAATCCCAGCTCCACCTCTTTCTAGCAGGTTACTTCCTTTCTTTGTTTCCTGGCCTGAATAACAAGGGCTAATTATGAACCCCTCCCTAGGGTAGCTATAGAGACTGAATGAGATAATGTGTCTGGTCTGAGAGGTGTTTAAAAACAAGAAGTAGCAGCCTCAGAGCCTGAGGTTAATGAATTGCACATATTAGGAAGGCCTGTGCTGGTGGCCTCTTCCTTGCCCCATTGAGCTCCCTCCTGGGTCCCCACCCCATCCGCTCCCTTCCACAGTGTCCTCCATGGGCCCCCATAGAAGCTGCTTGCAACACTCCAGCAAAAAACATAGCCCTCTTCTCTGTTGCATGGTTCTAATTATTAGTTGTTTTTCTCCCTTTACTATAATTGAGGTCTGCTCCCTGTAGCCTTCTCCCACTTTCCATCCTCCTGTGATGTCTTTGCCTGCTGTCCTGGGCTTTGTAGTGGAAATGCTGTTAGAAAGAAACAAGGCTCCCTTGGAAGTTGAGTTCAGGCATGTGTCCAAGAAAGAATGGAATCTGTATTGTGCTGTGAGGAGCAGTAACAAGGAACCCCTCCAAAATCGAAAATAACGACCTCATTGTTAGCCTACTGACTCTGCTTCCTGGACGGTCACTGGTCATTTAAACATGCCTTAATTGAGACCCTACTGTGTCTTTGGGCATACTAAGCTGCTGTGCTCAGCCAGCACACAGTGTGTGATTCTGAACTAAGCTGTGACTTGCCTTTGGAGACCAGAACAAAGGCGCTGAATGGGGCTGGTACAACTGGAGACAGCTTTACAGAGGAGGTGGACTGTGAGTTGACCTCTAAGAATCTGTAAAACTTTTAAACATAAGGAGTGAAGGGCGACAGGTCTTCGAGAAAACCTAACAGCCCATCTTCCCAAGCAGATGGGAAAATAATTCATTTCTAGGATAGCCACAGCCAAGGATTATTTTTGTGGATTTTTGTCACTTTGTATGGGGCAAATGCTCTGTAAATTTTGAAGGGAGTCCCAAAATAACAGCTTCATGACTTACTGCTGCTGCCCCCCAAATTTACTCCTGACACCTTCCTGAGCCCAAAGGAGATGGAAGATCCTTGACAAGCGGCGCTTGTCTCTCCCCTAAAGCACATATTTACTTTTCATATGAATATGTAAAATTTCTGACATATTTTGCATCATCAGTAATGAGTTCATCTGAACTGAGACTTAAAGAAAAACACAGATTTTATTTGATCTCCTTGTAAATGAGAATATATTTGTATGAGATATGTTCTGTGGAGTGTGACATACAGGAGATAGCACCTTTCAGGTTTCTGTCATCAAAACCAAGCCATCTGTACATTTCACGTTATACCCTCTCTATGCCATGAAATTAACTATCAACTGAAATTGCCACTTTACTCTATTACATCTTGAAGACAGAAATCTACGCCTCCTGACACAGTTGCCTCAAGGATAACCATCTGAGAGCAGCACGTGTCACATCTCATCAGATGTCATCCTTCAGGAACTCTTCTTGCTTCCTAGGATTTTTCAGTTCAGACAGGGCCAGTTCCTATGACTCACTAGCCTCCTTACAATTCTTCTTTTTTATTAAAAAAAAAAATTTTTTTAATTCGTAGCAGTTACCTTCTATCAAGTCCCACTGGCTTTGTTACCTTTTCACCCACCAAAGTAAAAATGCAATGTTTGGGGCCTTTTGTAAATGTCATCTCCCTAGGGTGGGCCAGGATGACCCCCACTCCTTCCTGGATAGTCCCAGCACCTGGGTGCAGCACATTCCTCACACTAACTACCTGGTATTAGATCACAGTTCAGAGGAGCACATCCCCCTACTACCCTGCCCGTTATGAGTCCATCAGAATTTTGCTACATAGCAATATTATAATTCTTCCTATTATACTGAAGAGGAAGCAAGTCTATTCACTTAACTAGTTGGCATTGGAGCCACAACGAGATCCCAGGTTTTCCTGCCCCAGACTTAGAAACTTTCTCCTGCATCCTGCTGCCATTTGAGGTATCTTCCAGGAAGCCCAGCACTGGCCCCTGTTCTATATTCTGTCTGCTCATTTGTCTACCCAGCCCCTGCTCTGCGGTTGACATGGACACATCCTCACAGTAAGGTATACTGAGAAACACGAGGGCAGTGTGGCTTTGCCTACAGAGTGTCTGCCTTGGAGAATATTGCTCATTTGTTTCTCCAATTTCCTGGCAATATAAATTGTGACATAGTTCTAAAGACTGTTTGGCCTTCTACATATTTATTCCTGTTGTATGTACCTACATTTGCATAATCTCCTAACTTATTTGTAGAAAGGGAATGAGAGTGTATTGGGCAATGCTGAATAGAAGTACATATGTTATGAATACATTTTTCCTTTATAGTAGTTTCTTTTTTCATTAACTATGTCAACTCATATATTTAGGAGCCTGTGGCATTCTCTTTCTACAACCGTGAACATAGTAACAAATAAAACTAGTCATGTCATTAGACACTATTTGACCTTGCAGTTTTATTCTTCCTCTTGGTTATAAAAAAAAAAATGCTTTTCCTATTTGTCTTTCTGACTTTTATTTGGTTTGCAAACAAACATCCAAAATCCAGGAAAAGGAGAATATAGGATGCATTGCTGTGCTCCACCATGAAGATAGTTTTGTCTTCTTAAGGTTATTCATAAGAGAAGTGAAGTGATTCTTAAGAGACTAAGCACCATTTCCTTCTGTGGAAGGAAACATTTCACAATTCCCTTCTCAGGCTCAGCATACCCATGACGCCATCACGGAAGCCGCCCAGCTGATGAAGGAAGCCGTGGACGACATCATGGTGACACTGAACGAAGCTGCCAGTGAAGTGGGGCTGGTGGGAGGCATGGTGGACGCCATCGCAGAGGCTGTGAGCAAGGTGGGCATGGGCTTCTGGGTGGAATGGCCCCTCCTTAGCCATCATTGCCTCGGTCTTCTCCCACTGTCCCCAAGCAAGCCGCCTTCTCTGGAGAGCTCTAGTTTATTACTTTTGTAAACCAGCTTTCCCCCTCTTCCTTCCAGTTTTATCTAGGAGGATGGGAGGTGGTCAACATATCACTGGTTTCCTCATTTACAAAATGGAAGTAATTATTCACCTCCTCTGGCTCCTTCGTAAGTTCGTTGTGAAAAGCAAACTTCAAAATGGTTACTATGGGACAACAGGGAGATTTTCTGAATGCAGGTTCTTAGGCTGCACCCCTAACTTGCTTGTTTGGGATCTTGATGGGGTAGAGTCTTGGAATCTCTGTTAGTACTTTTTAAAATTTCCTCATGGTTCTGGTATCTAGTCACATGCATCAACCAATGAAATAATATGTGTAAAACCCCTTTATGAACTCTCATAGACAACAGACAAAGAAGATAAGCATCGTTTTCTCATTTAGTGACCTGTCGGTTGACATGGGTCAGTAAGGAAATATGACTGGAGACAGTTTCAATTCCATATATTCTGCTCTTTTCCCCCAATCCTTCACTCGTCATGTCAGTTTGATATTCATCACCAAGAACAATTGTTCATCAACATCTAATTGCCGTCCTGTGATAGCACAGCCAAGAATTATAGACATCCTCTGTGTTTTGACATGTCCATCGTCAGAATGTGAATACATTAATATGGTTTTTCAGGATAATAAGCAGTCTTTAATTGCTAATTTAGAGAAGATTGGTTGTTCATATCTCCATAAAGAAAGGATACCCTCAAACTGTAATTAGAGTAATTATCCCTAAACATTATATAGTCATTGTCACACTGCTGGAGTAACAAGTCTGGGCTGGACAGCCAAGTCTTCCTTTAGAGACCTGGGGCTCCACTTTTTTAAAGTATCTGTTAACCCATTTTGTCCCATCGACCCATTTATGAAACCTAAAAACTTAAATTGAGCAACAAATAGACCACTTATGGTAACTTCAAAATAAACACATTTGTTTTTAGAATCCTGTCCTTTTGAGAAAAGTAATAGGTGAGTGATTAAAGATAATATTCATTAATACTATTAATGGTATGACTAATGGTTTTCATGATAACAAATTGCATAATAAACTCTAGAATGTGATTTTCAACCTATTCTGTTGCACCTGGGTCCATTTCATTGAAATAGTCATACAATTGAAAACTTGGCACTTAATGGGTTAATTTTTGATCTATGAGCTTCTCATGCTTCAAATAAGGACAGTTTGGCACAAACAAGTAAATGGCAAAATTCTCAACTCCTTTGGATAAGTCTCAGTGTGTGTGTTTGGTTTTTAGGACATCAGAACACTAGAGCTTTGAAAATAAGCCATGTGTCTACCAAGAATATAAAATAATGTGTCTAAGTCCAAGGTTTCTTGGTACAAATTAGAAAATCAAATGTTAATTTTTTTCTTCTTGAGAAAAGGGAATTTTCAGAATCAGTGCAATGACAGGGAAATGTCCTAGCAATCCCTGGAATGTGAGAGTCAGATCTGAAGTCTTCCTGAGGCAGCTGTGAGCCTTACACGCTGCCCCAGGCTGCAGACGGAAAGCAGCTCTTGCACACCTGATGTCAGTGGTGTGACAGCTGCTCCCTCAGCCCAGAGCACACGTGACTGTGCTGGAAGAGCTGGAAACTGCTGACAACACAGACCACAGAGGCCAGGAGCAAAGGGTTTTCCCCCCTCAGTTCTTGAAAACAAATCACTGGGGCTGGGTGTAGTGGCACATGCCTGTAATCCCAGTGGTTCGGGAGGCTGAGACAGGAGGATCACCGGTTCAAAACCAGCCTCAGTAATTTAGCAAGACCCTGTCTCAAAATAAAAAATAAAAAAAAAAAAGACTGGGGATGTGGCTCAGTGCTTAAGCACCCCTGAGTTCAATCCCTGGTACCTAAAAATTAAACAATATGCCACTGAGGTTTCTGGACTGCCCCTAAACTCTTAACTGATCTGTCCTGACATCCAAGCGACCACACAATACCTCTTCCCCATCCTGCCTTTACTCAGCCTTTTGCTAGAGCTTTAAGGGATATTTCAGTCCCTTGGGCCCTAAGCAGCAGGATATTAGAAAGCTGGTGTTTGTATCCAGGTGCATTAATTTGGTGAAAATAGTGATATGCTCTTTGAATCATTGCTTAAATTATCAAGGGCAGTAACAGGCAAAATAATATGAGTGTACCCAAAGTTTATTTGAACTTGGATGCAATTCTTGCAATTCTTCAGAGCTTCCACTACAGTAGTTCTGGAGATTTCCTGTCCATGTGTCTAAGCACTAGAGCGTCTGGAACTGATAGGTGAACATGAAGTAATAAGCTTTCTCTGTGACTTGGGACAAATCACTCCAGCCCTCTGAACCTTGATTTCTTCATTCAGTGAGGTTTGTGGGATTCTGTGGAATTTCACAATAGAGTACCTTTTCTTCGTTTTCCTTACAGCTTTGGTGCTAAGAAAGTTGCAGAAGCAAAACAAAAACTTTGCTACCAGCATCACTACTATTTCATAAAAGAAAGGTCATATTAATACCAGAAAAGAAAAAAAAAAAAAAGCAATGTGAAGTCTGTAATCCCAGAATAAAGGGGAGGTCTTCAACTAAATAAATTAGAAATCCTGAAGCACTACTTTATTCTTACCTTTCTCATTACTTTCAGATTGGGTAAAGGTTCATCGCAGTAGCCAGCAGTCACAGGCTACAGGTTCCCGGCTTGGTATAGTTGGGCCACATCTCAAATGAAGGATCCTAACACCTACTGACACTTAAAAGATGCTCAGTGGGTTAACACTTAACAGATGAGTCAACTCAATCCTCATTTGACTAGCAGGGTCCCCATGCTGTGATAAGACATTTGCAATCATCTCTCTGCCTAATAAAGATACCTTAAATTTTTTTTTTCCCTAGCTGTTTATGGTAGTGCACACCTGTAATCTCAGCAGCTCAGGAGGCTGAGGCAGGAGGATTGCCAGTTCAAAGCCAGCCTCAGCAACTCAGTGAGACCCTGTCTCTAAATAAAATATTTAAAAGGGAGGGGGAGTAGTAGAGGATAGGAAAGGCAGCAGAATACAACAGATACTAGTATGGCAGTATGTAAAAACGTGGATGTGTAACCGATGTGATTCTGCAATATGTATACGGGGTAAAAATGGGAGTTCATAACCCACTTGAATCAAATGTATGAAATATGATATGTCAAGAGCTTTGTAATGTTTTGAACAACTAATAATAAAAAATGCTGTTCTAAAATTATAGAATATAAAATTACATAAAATTGTTGAATTTAAAAAAATATTTAAAAGGGCTAGGCAAGTTACTCAGTGGATTAGCACACCTGGGTTCAATACCTGGTATCCCCTAAAAATAATAATCTAGAGTTTGTGTTGTGTTGTTTGGTGAAAATGACTCCCAGGCTGTGCAGCCACATCACACACAGGCTCCAGGGACATATTCCTTTCACTCACGATGTAGCTTGTGACTGTTTGACATGTGGCTCTTATTGAGGATACCACCTAACATTCTCCTAATTGACCTCTTGGCTCCCAATCTCTTCCCTGAGTCCAAACTATCTGGCAAAGAGGTGCCAGGGAGATCTTCTCAAATATGTCATTGCCTGCCAGTTCCTACCATCTTCCTCTTGATTTCAAGTTTCTCCAGATAACAGCCTCATTCCCAACACTCTCAAAACCTGCTTCTGTGCAGGTGATACCAAGCCCGCTATGTTCACACATCCTATATTGGCATCTTTTGCCTTGTCTCTTCATCTGGAATATCATTCAGCAACCAATGGTGACAATAATGCTGATGACAGTGGTGAAGATGGGTTGCCTTTTTCTTCATTACAGTCTCACTAACATTATCATCTTAATTCTCGTGGTCATCATCTCCTCCTCTTTTATGCAGCTCTTGGCCACATATAGTTTCAATGGATTCTACAACTGTGTCCTGCTTGGAAGTTACCAACAAAGGTACTCTGAGACCTGGAGATCTTAACTAGCTTGAGGACCATTTATAAGCTCTTGAATCAGGTCTCAGATACAAGTTTCTGAGCAATAAGTCCTCAGCCTTTGAGGGACACAGCCACAGTCCTACCTGCTTCCACTCTTCACCACACAGTGATTTTTCCCTTCTCTCAATTTGTATCACACTTAGAGTCAGATGAATAGCAGCTTATTCCTAGAACTTCCAGTTCCTTCTATTTCCAACTTAGACCATAAATAGCTCCAGGGCATCGATGTATGTGGACTCCAGCATCCTAGGGAAGCCCTTAGTGATCTATCTTCTGCCTCCTCTCCCACCTCATCTTTCTCCTCTTTGCACTTCCCTGAACATCATTTCCACCATGCCTCTGTGTGCTGCAGTGCTATCCCATTTATTGGATTACCTTCCCTACCTTTTACATTTGTGGACGCTCCTTACCTGATTAGACTTTAGCTGAAACATCACTTCTCCATAATGTATCTCATTCTGAGACTCATCTGGGGGACTCTTACCTGTGTCCCCTGAATGCCTTATGTGCAGCCCTACTGTAGTCCTTACTGCACAAGTTAGGGAATTCATCTCCAACAGGGCCAAAGAATCTAAGGGTCTCTTCACTTCTCTAAGTTTCTAATTCTAATAAATGCAATCCACGCTTCAATGGGTTTCTTATGACTTCTGGGTTCTTTTCCTCTTCTCTATAGCTGGATGAAGGCACCCCTCCAGAACCAAAGGGAACATTCGTCGACTACCAGACAACTGTGGTTAAATACTCCAAAGCCATTGCTGTTACAGCTCAGGAAATGGTAAGAGCCCTTCCCACTGCTGGTTGCCCCTGTCTGCCACCACCTCTGAGTCTTTAAACTCAGGATCTGTGAGGGAGAGAGATATGCTCCTAGTTCCTCCTGGGTTCTAGCACCCACCCTCTCTTTGTGGTCTCTCTGGTCACTTGTGGTCTAGAAACCCAACCTGCTGAGAAGCCCACCTCATGAAAAAGCCACAAGAAGGAATTAAGATGACTGAGATTTGGGCATGAGGACAGGGAACAAAGGAAGGAGAAAATATGAGAGAATAAAGGAAATGAGAAGGAAATTGGAGTCAAGAAGAAAAAAAGTCCTATTCACCTCTGAAAGGCCTTGAGATATTTTGATATATTTAAATCACAGTATGAGAAAAGATATTTTTGGATAAAATAGAACAGAGATGAGACTGTCTTACAGAGTCAAATTTTAACACTTAGACAATATAGTATTGCCTATCTTTTTAGGCAAGATGGAACAGTGTGGTTATTATTTAAAAAAAAAAAAAATCCTGACAACAGAAGGCAAGTAACTTTTGGAGATAATTTTTTGTTGTTTTTTGCTAAAATGCAACACAAGAACTCTATTAGTGGGTCCATAGATATAAATGCCATTCAAGAAACAGTGAATGCTATCTTGACATGTTAATAAGTTACATAAAAAAATGACAAATGGGGTCTTTAGAGAATGAATAGGAGCATGTGGGGTAAGCGCCTCTTCACTTTAAAAGACTCAGAGGCTACAGGGTAGACTCTTTGGAGATGCCTCAGATGCTTTTTCCACAAAAGCCTGAATTGAGAAATCCAGGGGCCTTCCTTGACAGAGGGACCAGAATGATCCACCATGTGGTTACTGTCCCATCACAGTGGCCCACGCGCTTCTCTGGTTCTGTCATGTAATCGTGTGTCCACTAGAGGTTGAGCTTGGACCACGAAGCCTTCTCTGGCTGCTCCGCTCATTCATGGAAACTGACTGTGCCAGGTCTACTGTTATTGAAAAGAATTGGGGCTGGGGCAGGAGGGAGACATAACACTCATCTCCGTGTGTCTGACCAGCTGGAGCTGAGCGCAAGCCCGTTCTCTAAAGGGAGCACAGAGGACAAAAGTCCCGCTCTGCAGCTTTGCCATGCAGTGCAGTGGCAGGAGAAGACATTTTTGAGTGGCCTTTTAGCATTTCTGGAATGTCTCCTGGGCCAGGCTCTGGGCTAACCTTTGTTGACCTTGTTGTCCTTGACCCTAAGGAGCCCAGCTTCCAGCTGCATGGCCACTCCTGAAACAGCTGGCCTGTGCCTTGATTGGAGAGGCCCATTTCACCTTGTGGGCTCACCCTCAGAATCTCTCTGTGGCTGGGCACAGATGGAGCAGTTCATGGTGCCATCTCGCCCTCTTGAGGTTCAACATGTGCTCCTTGGAACCCATACTTGGGCCTGAAGCTTGTGACATTTCCTTATAAAAAAAAAAAAACCTTAGAAGAGTCAGACATTCCTATCCTACCTCAATGGATATGAAGTTGTTCAAAAAGACTTTAAAAACCCTTTCACATCAAGGCCTTCAAAGGTTATAAAGAGAGAATTATCCAGAGCAAGGAAGGGGATAAGGCAGGAGGGAAGCTCCTCAAAGAGGGACAAGGACACTTCTGAGTAATACATTAAAGCTGTTCTTGTGAGAATTGGCATTTTTTGTCCAGAGGAAGAAGGAAAGCTAGAAACTAACGTGTTAGGTGAGCTTAGCTAAGACACACTGTTCTATGAAGCAGAAAAATATGTCTTGCCAATAAGAATATTGTGGCTGAACCCTTGTCATGCTTTGGCACAAATTTATTTCAAAGCTATTCTCTGAGTTTCTTCCTCCAAAACATTGGCTTCTCTACCACTTCTCATTCACAACTTTAACAGCCCTGTCCTCATGCCCTTTCTTACCTGGGTGGATCCTGCTTCTAAGACCCAGAGTCCAAACCAGCAGTCCGTAGACACCCAGGCCAGGAGTGTGCAGTGCACATGGGTTGTGCCTCCTGGAGGTTTCGTGGGGGAATTCCTCTTTGGCCTCACAGGGCACCTCCCAGAGAATGGTCCCTCAAGGCCCAGCTCCACGATGCACGGCCTCCATACTAAGCATGTGCCCATCTGGCCCAACCAGAATCTGCTGGCCTAAGAGGGGCCCTGCAGGGTCTGCATGGGTTCTGGCCTTTTGTGTGCAATGTGGCTTGGGCTGTGCTTGAGCTGCCCTTTCCAGCATTCAGCCCTGAATGCCAGTACTAGCCTTCACCCCATCGGGAGCTTAAAAGTGAATGAAATCCTTTGGCTTCCAATGGTATTAACACGTGGTTTTCATGCTTTTCTCTGTGTGTATTTGTGTCTTGCTTGTTTTCTTTTTCCAGATGACTAAGTCGGTTACTAACCCGGAGGAGTTGGGAGGATTGGCTTCACAAATGACCAGTGACTATGGGCACCTGGCTCTCCAGGGCCAGATGGCAGCAGCCACGGCCGAACCAGAGGAGGTCTGCCACCTTAAGGCCCCTATTTTAAGAAGCAAACACAGTGGTGCCCACCCCCAAGGGATTCTCTGTAGCCTGGCTCCACTCCAAAAGACCTGAGCCCAGTAGCTAGAACCAGATTCTGTTTCCACTATGTGCAGCCAACTTCTCCCCACCACACACACCCATTCATACCTGGAAGCCCAAGGTTGTGTTCCAGGCTCATGCTCTTTCAGAGCCTGACTGGCCAAGAGCTGGGACCATTTGGGAAGTAGGCTCTCAGGAAAAAAATAACTGTTTACAATGTTCTTCCAGGCCTCTTCCCCATCAGCCCATCACTTTACCATACTTGAGCCTGAGGGTGCCATCTTATCATTTCCTGTTGCTATTCTATGCATCCCCCCAAGTCAAGCTTGTATTTTACAAAGGCTCCCAGAAGTGTTAGAAGCATGGGATTTTGCTGCCCCTCAATTGAGAAATGCCTGCTTTTGTGTCACAAGCCTTACCTTAATAATCTTAGTGGCTTTCTAAGAATTGGCCCAGATCCTGCCATCATACCTCCAGTGGCCTCTTTAGTACCCACATGCCTCCCTTAACTAGCTTTCTGTGGAGGCCAGCATAGACTTGACCTCAGCAAGCTGCACCCAGAAAGGCCTTCAAATGACAACATTAGGCCCCTAAAGCCACCTTCTAAGAGTTGCAATCTCTGGTAGTTCTAAGAAACGGAGTAGTCTACTGGGAAGACCACTCCTTGGGTGGTCTCCAGAGATCCTGAACGGGGCTCCAGGGGATGTCAGTGTGAACACCCAGAAGGGCCCAGGGAACTGTGGCTCTTTAGAGAAAGAAAGCTCAATCTGGAATGCAGAATGATGGGATGAGTTGCAGTAACACTGGAGAGATAAAGGTAACTGTTCCATGAAATTCAGCAAGCTGTTTATTGAGCTCAACCCCTATTGTGAATTAGTGGGATGTCAAGGCAGAAGGTTGTAGCTGGTCTTTTTCTCTCCTTGCAGTAATAGTCACTGTCCCAAAGTTCCTCAGTGCTGCTTTTTCTTCTGGGAGTCAGATCCGAGCATGTTCTAACAAAGATTCCCAGAGGTTCTACAGAAGCAAAGACCCAGAACACATTGCTTTCTAACAAGTGGCATAACCATGCATGCAAACAGAAGCATCACATATATGTACTTGCATACATATATATCTAGCATGGGATTTCTTAAGTTTTAACAGTGCCTGTGTTTTCTGATTTCAAAATGATTATTTAGGTTGCAGCATGAATAATTGTTTGTGATGAGTGTGTTAAGTTCAATCAAGAAAGGAACACTATCAGAGACACCAGGACTCTCTTGATTCTTTTACACAGGCCCATCTTTCTTTCTTTAAAATAGACTCCCTGCTTTAGTAAGACTAGACTATAATTCCAGTCTGTAATTTATCTAGACATATAATTTCACTTGATTAATGTGTAATTTTGAATTTCATAAACAACTATAAGGGAACTTACGTTAGAGTAAAGAAGACTTTGGTTGAACAAAGGGAAGAAGTAAATGGCTTTGAGGAAGGAATTAAAACAGACTGTAATTGTAAGGGAGGTCTGGATCCCTATCTACAGAAACCTTTACGAGTGGAATCCACCTCCATCTGCCTTGGATGATTGAAATGCTGTCCTGCCTGGGTTATCTGCAGGGCCCTTCCCCCATCGGAGTTCTTATGAGTTGCCCACCTCATGTGTGAAACAAGCAGAATTTTCTTATTGCAAGGCAAACCACTGAAGCAAACTATAAAATAAAGTCAAAGCAGCCAGGAAAGAAAATGGATTGCAGAAAGCACAACAGGTTTCTTTGGTTATTGGCCGTGGGCTGTAGCAACATTTTCATTAAGCTTTTCCCATTTCACTCTTACATCTCAAGTTATATTTTACAGTCCAGACACAAAAGCAATGTGACCTGGAGTGAAAGAGACAGGGAAAATATAAAATTACCCGTGGCTTGCAAAGGAAAATTCTTTGTTTGCATTTGCCAGACAGATATGTGGGGAGAAAACCAAGAAGGTTAGAAGATCCCTGAAGCAATGTATTTTTTTATTCCAAGATCGTAGAATTATTTGTATACCCAAGAGGACCCCACATCACAGCATGTGAAAATATTTATATCCCCAGCAAGTCAAAAACGGCCCCCTTCACGGCAGCCTGTAGCGGCTGTGCCAAGTCAGCGTTTTGGTCTTTTCCAGGATGGGACAATTACAGGAAAAATCAGAGCTGTGCCCTGAAACATCAAGCAGGATCTTTATCTGCTTATTTTTCCATGGAAAATTCAAACCTTTGTTAACTTCACTGTAAAAACTTCTTCAGAAAAGCCAAAATCCTCTGGCAGCTTTGCAATTTTGGGTTATTATTATTTTTCTTAAAAAAAAAATGAAAAGAAAAAAAGAAATTCTATGAGCCATGACTCCTAAGTGTAAATCCTGGGGGAAAGATTTAATGACTAAAGCTTTGTCTCTAAGGAAAATCCACTGTAACCCCTTGTAATACTCGATGTCTTCAAAGCTAGCAGGAGCATTTGCCTAAAAGAACCACAGCCCTCTCTAGAATTCTCTAAAACTTTCCACTCCAGACATGCTTTTTGGAGGTTGGATAGTGATTCCTAAGTCTGTTGTGAACTTTCTATTTTTTCCTTCCATATTTTTCTCTCTCAGTTTGTCACATAAGTTCTGAAGAATCAGAACTTACCAACATCCACATGCTCTCCCAGGCAAGATAGTGGACCTGGTTTCGGATGCAATTGCTTTTAAGGTCTGTGACAAGCCCAACATTTTGTTTGGTTTTAGGCAGTAAGGAAAGATGATCAGATCTCCTAGATCACCACCCACACTGTAATTGGATCCCAAACTTCATAAAGGCCAGGCTTTTAATTTCCCTCCAGGCACAAAACAGGGAGATGGTTTTTCCTCCATTGAACTTTTATTTGGGCAAGAAGGGAATTGAGGTTTTTTTCATGAGGCTCAAGTAATGGTTTACTAAAGTTGCCAATTTAAAACCCCAAGTTGCATGTCTTTGAGCAACATTCCTTTATAATAAACACTAGTGGTGTGTGGAATCACCCTATGGTTCTTAAAACATTGGGTTGTATTTGCAAGAAGTTCAGCATTGTTTTGGAAGCTGACCATTTTTAAATCCCTTATCTGCTTGAATACAGTCTCAAAAACTCATTCTTTCTAGAATGTTCCTCTGGTGGTACAAAATGTTCACAGAGAAATTGCCAATAAAGCTGGGCACAGTGGCAAATGCCTATAATCCCAGTGGCTCTGGAGGCTGAGGCAGGAGAATAGCAAGTTCAAAACCAGCCTCAGCAAAATGAGGCACTAAGCACCTCAGACCCAATCTCTAAATAAAATACAAAATAGGGTTGGGGGTGTGGCTCAGTGGTAAAGTGCCCCTGCATTCAATCCTCAGTTAAAAAAAAAAAAAATTGCCAGTAGACTATTGATTCTGTTGTTTTCTTTCATTTGAGTGCCTTGCTGTCACACCCCTGAAAAAAAAAAAATAGGTCTGACCACATGGTAGGCATTGTGATGGGTGCTGTCCCATTTACTCTTCTAATCACAGTATATGAAACAAGAGTCATTTGTTCTTCCCGTTTTATGGGTAAGCAAATTGAGATCCAGAGAGCTTAGTAAAATTTTTAGCTCAAGACAACAAAACCACATTTCAATCCGAGCCACTTTAAATAACTGAAACTGATAAGGTCTCTTTTTGTTTTGAAATTCTGTCAGTATTTCTTCTACCACTTCCTCTTCACCTGACTTTATCAGCTGTCCTTTATCATTTAGAGATCTGTGGTCATCCTTAATTTAAGAGCTCTTGCTTTTAGATTAGCTCTGATTCTTGAATACTTGGTGTTAAACTATGGATCTGGAAGGCTTCAAAAGCTAGACTGAGTTTAAAACTTTAATGGGGCATCACCTGGCTTCACCTTGAACTTGTTTTTAAAGCCAGGAATGTGTCTAGTAAACACATTAGTTTGAATGGCATCACTCACTGCCTTGTGGGCTGAATTGTCCCTCCTTGGTGACAGCCGTATTACTGCACCAGTCCAGACCTATTTTCAGTACTGCCATTTTTTTAGAATCCAGGAATGCTGCTCATGTTGTATATTATACAGAAATGGTCAGCAGGACAGACCTACCTAATGGTGAAGCTTCTGCATCACCCAGCATAATATTCACAAGATACCCAAAGAGTAGAAACTCACCTTTTTTAATCCAAAGAATTTTCTGTTAAGGAGACTTGAAAGCCCTTTGGGCATTAAGGAGTTAAGGGCAGAATATGTTTTCCTAAAAGCTGTATTTTTGTAATGTAAGAGAACATCTGTAGTACCCCTACTCTCCAAAGTTACTCCTCCATAAACTCTAAAGAGATGATAAGAGATGATAGCAGGAGACGGCATCCAGATGGCCAAAGTCTTCCAGGCAGCATTCACCAAATCTGAAATATTTTGGTAACTGTTCTAAATAGTTGATACAAGAATAAGCTATAACCTCTAGCTACTGTACATTTTAAAAAATAACACTGATTCACACTTAAACTTTCTTTTTAGTTTCTTACCTGCACTGGAGGGCAGGTTATTCATGGCAGCTGTGTTGATCCGGACCAAAGGAAAACTGACATGAAAAAGAATCCAAGGAATGTGTACTTTGGGGAAGTGAAGTTTATTATACCTTAAAGGAAACAGCTGGCCCCTTAACCATAGTGACACTCCTTTCTCTTCTCCCTGGCAAATTGCCTTTAATAATCACACAACTCAGAGTCTTAAATGAATGCGTGCCTGCTGAGCCTTTAGCTCTGTGAGTGTGCCTTGTTCAAGGAAACCTCAAGCCTGGTCTGATGGCCAGGAAGCCTGGGCTCTGTAGGGTCCCTCTCACCATGTGGTAGAGCTGAGGAAGGGGGTGTTCTCGTTGGTAAACATATAGTTTTGTAAGAATCTGAACACTTTAAAATATGCTTAATATTAAAGCTATATTTTGAACTTCTAATTACCCTCTAGGGGTATTGGGAGGTATAAATGAAATGAAAAGGCATCACCTGCTTGGAAGAGGCCTTGACACACAGCAGGGGCTCAATAAATGCTTGTTGAATGAATAACAATTGTGCCACAGAGTTCATCTAATTAACATTCTTATTGGGTGGCCTGAGTCCCAAATGAGCTGCACACCAGAAAAGGTAGCAAACTCCATGGGCATTATGCTAGCACAATGAGCCACATGCTTGCTTGATGGAGACTGTGGGCATTTTACAGTCTCTAAAAAGGGAAGCTAAATCAACCAAATTCCATACTTCACCAGACACAGACTCCTAATAGGAGTGGAATTTTCCTAGCCAGTTTCCCATAGGACGCAGGAGAAATTTTCCACGTAGGGAAGGCCTTAATGGCAGGGTCCCATCACACTCCTTCCCTATCCCGGGCTTGCCTCTGCAGATCGGATTCCAGATTCGCACGCGTGTACAAGACCTGGGCCACGGCTGTATCTTCCTGGTGCAGAAGGCAGGGGCCCTCCAGGTGTGCCCCACAGACAGCTACACCAAAAGGGAACTGATCGAGTGTGCCCGTGCTGTCACAGAGAAGGTAAGGAGCAGCCCTCTGGGTCAGATATAGCCACCGTAGTTGCCACTGGCTCTCAGTGACCCACTGTAATGGGGGACAAAAGCAAGAAACTGAGCTAAAGTTAATCCAGCCTTCACAGCTGTCTTTTCTTCTCACCCGGGTCCTCCACGGGGAAGGCTGCACCAGAGGGTGAACCACAGGACCTGAGAAACGCAGAGTGCTACAGGGGCTATCCCATGAGGATCAGGCCCCAGTGCTCAGTCTTCTCCAAGGGCCCTCCTGCAGACAGACCCTATCAGTAACATCAGAGCCAAAAGCTAGCCATCGGGAGGCCGCCGCTGGAGCCCCACCCTGTAACCCCTGGCCTTCCTTCTTAAGGAGGCTCCCAGGTGCTAAGGGCTGAGTCAAAAAGACTGAAATTTCCCTTCCTGGGCAACCTTTTGATTTAGGGCCAGTGAAGCCAGGGAAGCTGAGTGATTTGAGGCAGTTGTATAGCGCCTTTGGGGAGGAGCATTAAGGAACTTCCCCTGGGGTCTTCAGACTCTAACACAGCTATTTGTAGAGAGAATCTCTAGGGTAGGGAGCAGGGCTGTGAAATCTTAGCTAAATTACTTCACCTCTCCAAGCCTTGATTTGCTCATCTATAATGTGAGGATACAAATTTGCAATTCCTGACTCAGAATTGTGAAGATTAAACATAGTGATGTGTGTAAAAGCACCTGGCACTGTGCCAGACATAAACATCTAGTCAATGCTCACTGCTGTTCTCTGGGAACTTTCCTCCAGAACTCTTCTCTGAGGATGCTATCCCCAGTTCACAAGGCCCCACTGTAACAGTCCCTCCGTATCCAGGCTCTTTATTCTCCTCCCGGAGGGGAACCTCTTGCTTTGCTTACAGCCCAGCCAGTTCTCACTCAGAACAGCTCTTCAGCAGGTTGTGTGAAGCACAGACCAAAGCATCTGTGCTTCAGTGGCATTTTCCTCTCCGTGCACTTCGGTTTGAAGTACATAGAGCTCTGTACTGTTGAGAAACTTGGCAACGAGACTTCAGGGCTGGCTGGGAACCCTCATGGGGAAGTCAATCACAGACACTGCTCTGTCCGTGGCCCTTGGCCGAGACCGAGCCTCAGTCTGGCTGTCTCCTGAAGCCTGCAGGACTGTCCAGGCTCTCTGGGCTCCACAGGATGAGGAAATAAATCTCTCAGCTCAGGGAAGTTATTTGCTCTCCCTTCAAAGCCCTTCCCTGTTGTGGAGGTCCTGCTTGCCAAGTTCCCCCAGAAGGGCTTGCAGGGGAAGCAGCAGGACCAGGGGCAGGATACCAAGCTGCCTGTCATGGCCAGGCAACCCAGTCTTCCCAAGTTGGCCTTGGCCTTGCTGCTCCTCACAGCAGATGCCCCTGATTCAGGACACCTGGGGAAGGACAAAGGTAGGGAGGCGGCCAGTGTTTAGCAACCAGGCTTATTGCTGTTTTGTGCTACGTGCCCTTCTAATCTGCTGGTGTTTCTTGTGTCAGTCTTACATGTCTCGGTGTTGTATATAATGAGCCCCCAACCATGAGCCCCTTGATTCGTCTTCCTCCGTGACCTCTCTAGGGACCAGGAGAGGGCCAGTAAACACCTGCCAACTTGTGCGCCCTTTGCAGTGGGTAAGGCACTGTTTCTGGACTTTCTTTTTTCACCCTGGCTGAGAAAGTCTCTCTCACACACCCAAAACAGCCAATCACTTGTCTTGGCCTTTGTCCCCAATTCTCTGAGAGTTCTTTCCAGAAGCTATTTATCTCATTCCCATATCAGCTCTGTGCCAGTCTGAATTCTTTTCCTGGTAGGACCTACAGACATTTAAAGGAGAATCAGGCAAATGGAGCAGAGAAATAGTACCCTGTGAACTGGTCCTGGGATATGGTGGGCACTCAGGAAATGGTCCCCCTGCCCCTCCTGCTGGGCTGAGCCCACAACCTCTGCCAAGATCTGAGCAGCACAGGGAAAAGAATGTCCCAAACTCAGTGCCTCTTACCACACTGACATTCCCCTGCCCTGCTCAGCACGTTTCAAGAAATACATTTGCAAAGCATTTCATCCTTTTGGGGGCCAGCCATTGAACCGGGATGGTGGTTGTAAGTGCACTGAAATTAACACAGGGCTCCTGGCCTCTAAGAGCTTCCGGCTGCTAACCCTAGGTGCTATCCTGAGGGCAAGAGCAGTGCACTGTGGAATCCCAGGAGGCGGAGCTGTCTCTCTAGAAAAGAGAATAGGTGGAGGCATCTCAGAGGGGACTTTGAGCTGTATCTTGCTGGATGAGTTGGTCAGTGACTGGAGAGGAGAAAATGGAGCCTTGCAGGCAGAGTGTAGATCTGGAAAGAAAAGGTGGGTGTGTCTGGGGAAGTAAGAGGCTGGCAGATGTCAGGGGAAGAAAGTAAAGTTGACATGTGGTGGAATTGTAAGCAGGGATGAGTGATGGTCAGGTTTGGGTAAAGAATCTCTGAAATAGGGAGGGTTTACTCTAGGGGCTGAGTGGTAGGAGCTGGAAGTCAGGATTTCTGACATGGAACATGCTGGGGTGAAGCCCTTACCTGACTTGCAGGACCCTGAGGTCACTGTGTACTGTTTGATGGTGGTTAATGATGTGCAGGAGTGTTAGGGGTGGAGAGGTTCTGGATGAGATCCCATCTGGAGCGAGGTCTGTTCTGGAGAATTTCCCATCATGGCAGCCAAGTTAAGGAGTGATGAATATTAGCAGTGGCTGCTCCAAACACCTATCTAAAAGAGATGGAAGTGGCACAGTTCAGAGGCACCTAATCCCTGCCCCTTCACTGTGGTTTCAGAATCATAATGAGAACTAAATGCATACTAGCATCTGCCCTAGACTGAGCATTTAGGATTTGCAAATGCCTTGCTAGGAACTTTACATACATCAGTTTTCCTCTATTCTTCCAATACCTTTCTTTAGTAGATAAAAAGTAATGGACCCATTCTACAGATGAGGAAACTAAGGCCCAAAAAAGATGAAACAGCTTGGCCAAGGCCATGTGGCCTATAAATGGAAAAGTTGGTATTCAGACCCAGGCTGTTGATGTCAAACCTGTGCCACTGACCCCTAAGCTACATCAATTTCCAGGACAAAAAATTCAGTGTTTTCAGGTTCGGCACACTTTGGGGTCACATTTTCTCCATTTTCACATTCCTGTTTACCTACAGGTGTCCTTGGTACTCTCAGCTCTCCAGGCTGGGAACAAGGGGACACAAGCATGCATCACAGCTGCCACTGCTGTATCTGGGATCATCGCCGACCTGGACACCACTATCATGTTTGCAACAGCAGGGACGTTGAACGCAGAGAATAGCGAGACCTTCGCAGACCACAGGTACATGCCCCAAAACTCATCAACTTTTGCCACACTACCTGGGAGCCAGAAATCTGTATATCTCTTCTGAGTTCAACAAGGTCCTCAGTGGGTTAAATGAATCATGAAATCAAAAAAAGCTCCTTTTGCCAACTGTAAACACAGAGTGATGTTTGAGCTCGGCCTTCAACAGTCCTAGATCCAGCCTGAACCAGCAGAGAATATTTTTGATCTTTCACTTTGCTGGCTAGAGAGAACTGCTCCTGTGACCGTCCACTGACCTGGCAGAATTGGCAGGGGCAGGCAGGTTTAGTAGGAGCTGTGCCTTGGGGAGTTTAAGAACACTGCTGAGATGGCCGTTGCTGAGGGCTCTGTGTTTACAGCTGGAGAACCCCAAATCCTCGTCATCTATTCCTTGTCTCTCTCTAGTCCAAGGTCTGGGCTGAGGGTGGGCAGAGCAGATTCCCTGTACTCTGTGCTTCCCTGAGCCTAGCCCCTCAGGCTCTGATTCCCAGACAAGATAACACAACCCATGCTGCCTCACAGCTCACTGTGGGTGTCTTAAGGGATCTTGAGAGTCGCAAAAAATGTGGGGTGTTCAATTAACCACAGGCCTGTGGACCTAAGTCTTTCCCTGGACCATTACTATTCTCCACCTTATGCACGAGGGTTGGCTTTCCTCTCATCTCCCCAACTTTGCTTACGTGGAAGCTGTGTACCCCTTGATAAGGGTGGGGGAACATGGGACTCTTTCCCAGAGCCCTTTCACCAAAGCCCCCTGTGAAGGATTTCCCCTCCCAACCCCCAAAAAGTAAGTTTTTCCCTTTGTTTCTCCCTCCCTCCTTGGTCCTGCCTGTTTCTCAGGGAGAACATTCTGAAGACGGCCAAGGCCTTGGTGGAAGACACAAAACTGCTTGTGTCCGGGGCGGCGTCCACTCCAGACAAGCTGGCCCAGGCAGCTCAGTCCTCAGCAGCCACCATCACCCAGCTAGCTGAGGTTGTCAAGCTGGGGGCTGCCAGCCTGGGCTCTGACGACCCTGAGACCCAGGTAGGGACAGGGCCTGTGGATGTCTTCCTTGTATTCCCACAAATGAAGTGCACCAAGCTTCAGAGGAGGGCTCAGGCCATTGGCAACTTTTGAAGTAGATAATATGCATGTGAGTGTGTCTGGTCTGGGGACCTGTTAGGAAGCAGTTGTCTAAACAAGAAGCACAGAGCGTGGATGTGGCTGGAGGATGGAGATGAGCCGTGTATTTAAGAGGAATCCAGGAGGAAGAGTTCACTAGACCTGGTGAACAAGTGGGCATTGGGACATGAGGGAGGAGCAAGCATGTCTCCACATTTCAGGAGCATTTTGTGGACAGTGACTTTACATATGGAGGGAGAGCTCCCTGGAGAGTCACCCTGAGCAGGGACAAGAAGGTGAGTTCAGTCTGGGGAGTGTTGAATCAGAAGTGCCAGAGAGACCACTGGTAGAACTAATGAATGGACACAAGCCTGCTCAGGTACAGGAGCATGGGTGCAGGGATTGTTGCTGTAAAGATAGCAACACCTATAGGAGAGGAGAAGCATGGAGGGTGGAAGGACCATCTTCAGGAGAAAATGCCTAAGGTGCTTGAGGAGCAGCAGCAGTTGGCAAGAGGAAAGCATGGGATGTTGAGCGGAGGCATTCTCAGCCCATCAGAGATGCTGAGTTAAGGCAGGTTAATGTCTGCCACTGAGCCACTAGTCCTATACCATGGAGGGCATTGGTGACTCTTGCTATTTGTATGGGGTGGTGAGACAGCAGCAGTCAGGGAAGGGGAAAGAAATGATGTCCACAAGCCTAGGCCCTCACTGGGGAAGTTTGGCTCTGTTTTGGAGAAAGAGAAGCTGGAAGGGTAGGAAAGGACCCTGTGCTCCTGTGACCTCTGTTTGAAATGTAATGAGTTCATTGAAATGACCTATCCGTTCCCTTGGTGCCTCCTCCCAGACCATAGGCTCCTGGAGGACAGTTGCTGTAGTTTATTCATCTCTGAAACCTACACACCTGATGCAGCTCCTGGCATACTCAGCAAATATAGGTTCAACTATTGTTGAGCCAGCAGGCAAGCCTAGTGATCGATAAATAGATATTGCCCATTGCCAGAACGTAAAACTTAAACCCCTCTGTTCTCGCTATTCCTGACACCACCTAATGGTAACTTCAGTTTTCAGTGCCTAAACTGTGCTCAGTAAACTAGCGTATTTGACAAAACTAGCTGTTAAAGAAAGGGGCCAGGTGGATGAGACTGACTGTTCTGGTTAACAGGGGCCACCAGCTTTGTTCCCACAGAGTCTGCACCTTTGCTTCCTGACATCCTCCAGGGCAGCTAAGCCCCATGAGGACATCTTCCAGTGTCCCCATGTATCCCTCCTGCAACATTTCTTCCTGCTAACATCAGAGTTCACACTACCTTTTAGAATACTAAGCATTCACAGAAATCCCTGCCTGAGGTGATAGTTTTAACCCTGTGGAGGAAGGAAAAGCTGGAAACCATGTTCCTGTAGTTGGAACCCACAGCACAAGTTCACTTTTGTCACTTGACATAACTTGAGAAGTGACTTGGCTGGAAAGGTTTAAATCTTTTAACTCAGAGAAATATTGCTGTGGAATCATCTCCTCCCACCTTGGGAAAAAATTATGTAATAATTTTTATTAAATACAAAAAAAGAGAGATGATAAAATGAGCCCCTGTGTGTCCACCACCCAGCTTCTGTGACCATCAGCATTTGCCTTATTTTTTTTCATTCAACCTTATTTTGTTGTGGTAAGAGCACTTAATATGAGATGGACTGAGACAGATCTTACCTGTGCAGTGCGGTAGTGTTAACTGTAGGCACAACAGATCCCTAAAGCCGATTTGTCTCACTTAACTGAAACTTTATGCTTATTGGCTATTTACTCCTCTCTCCCTCCCTCCCCCATCTCTGACAACCACCATTCAGCTCTGCCTCCGTGCATTTGACTGTTGTAGATATGGCATACAAGAGGGATCATGCATATTTTTTTGTCCTTCTGTGACTGACTTAATCACTTAGTATAATGTCCTCAGGGTTCATCCATGTTGTTATTATATATTGCAGAATTTCCTTTTTTAAAATTAAGTGATATTTCATCATGTGCTTCTACTTTTTTTAATCCATTCATGTACCAATAGACACTTCTGCATTGTGGCTATTGTGAATAATGCTGCTCTGAACATGGGGATGCCAATATCTCACTGAGATCCTGATCTCAATTACTTTGAATAAATACTTAGAAGAAAGATTACAGGATCACATGATATTTCTATTTTTAATTTTTTTCAGGAACCTCTGCACTCTTCCTTAACAGCTGCACCATTCTACATTCCTACTCACAGATCTAAAAGAGTTCCAACTTCTCTCTATCCTTACCAACACTTGTCTTTTTTTTTTTTTGGATTGGTCCTCCTTATAAGTATGAGGTGATGTCCCACTGTGGTTTTGATTTGCATGTCCCTGAAAATTAGTGACCTTGAGCTTTTTCTCACATATGTATTGACCATTTGTAGTTTTTTGGAGCAATATCTATTCATGTCTTTTTCCTATTTTTTAATCAGTCCATTAGATTTTTTTGCTGCTGCTGTAGGGTCATTATTCTCAAATGGTCTAGGTATCCTGAAACACCAACTTGCTGTGAGATCTCACTTGGGAAAAAAAAAAAAACTCAAGAAAATATCCTCTTTTAATCAGTTGTCAAAGAGTGGAAGTGAGACTGTGTGTCCTGAGTGGAGGATATAGGCAGCAGATACTGGCTAGCGGTGCCTCTGTTCCTCTCACTGTCCCTCCTCCCTGGCCTTGGTGCGAGGAATCAACACATCACACCTTCCTCACAAGCTGCATCCCAAACTGACCCACCTGTAGGTTCAGAAGGTTGACTGAGGTTCCCTCTGCCCTGTGGGTGAGAAGGCATCACAGAGGTGGGCAGGTGACAACAGAGGGCTGGAAAAATCACAATATTGCTGTGCTGCAGCTGTCTGGGGCTCTAGGGTCTCTGGTTCATTTTCACATCTGTTATCCCAGTTTGTCCTCACAGAATCTGGGGGAGACAGATGGGACAGCGCTGCTGATTCTGCTTGTCATGAGGAGCTGGCTGGAGAGCTTAGTTACTGTGGAGGTTAAGACCATGGCCCTTAGAATCACATTGACCAGAGTCCAAATTCCAAGTCTGCAACTCCTGGGCTCTGGGATATGGACGTTAGGATTGCAGTTCCCATGTGAAAGGGTGGAAGTGAGAATTAAATGAGACAATGTGTGCAGAGTGCTTGGCTCAGTGCCTGGAACGCTGCCATTGACACCAGGCAGTTGTTATTACTAGTACAGAAGTGGGAGCTGTTAATGGAGCTCCTGGACCGAGAAGGCTTCAACACAACACCCATCCATAATCATGTTGCTGACACTTCTGATTCCAGGTCCAATGTGGCTGTGGCCTCTCTTATATTAGAGAAGTAGACACAGGTAATGTGTTCCATCCAGGGCCATATGGGCACACATCTGTGCCTTTATCCATTCCCCCAGACTTACTTAGTGCCTGTTGATGCCAGGCGCCCTATTCAGACCCCATAGAGCTTACACTCAAGCCTCAGGGGAAGACAAACCATGTTCAAGTGAATAAATAATAAAACAATTCAACCTACTGATAAGTACTGTACAATATAATAAGGCGAGCTACTGTTTGGCAGTGGGCCTATAGCTAGGGTGGTCAGGAAAGGTCTCTAAAGACATGACATTTGAGTTGAGGCCCAGATGATAGAAAGAGCTGGTTCCCAGTTGAGAGGAGAGCAAGAGTGAAGGCTCAAAATATGAGCAAGTTGAGATTCCCAGTGGGGAAGGAAGACCCACGTGTCGGTAGCATGTTGAGTGGAGCAGAGATCCTAGGAACCAATGATGGAGAGGCAGGCAAAGCTGCCACGAGGGCCTTGCAGCTCAGGTGCAAGGCTGGGGTTTTGTTCTGTGTTCTAGGCACAGTCTGGGGTCAACTGCCATTGCCTCTTAGGCGTCTGCTTAGTTCCCTTCATCTTGTCAGGGGCAGCTTGTCTGCGAGTTGCCAGTGAGGAAGTTGAAGCAGACTGTGTGCTTAGATCTGAGTTCTAGGCTCAGCGTCAGCCTCCTAGAGTGGGGTGGCACGCTTCTTAAGATTCCTGCTTCAGACTCTCCAAGGGTGCCTTCCTCAGTGTTATTGCTGTGATACAGGCTTCAGAGCCACTGCTGCAGACATCTGCCTTTTCCTTGTCCCCAGCACCCTTCCTCAAGAAAGTTGCTGGTGAAGCCAGCAGGTGGCTGTTGAGCACCTGCTCACCCGGGCTCCATGATCTCTTTCAGGTGGTGTTGATCAATGCTATCAAAGACGTGGCCAAGGCCCTTTCTGATCTCATTGGTGCTACCAAGGGAGCTGCCAGCAAGCCAGCCGACGATCCTTCCATGTATCAGCTCAAGGGAGCTGCCAAGGTTAGAGTGGGGTACAAACGGGAGTCAGCTTCCAGGGCTATGCGGGGTGAGGGAATCCCATAAGAGGATGTTGGGAGAACACACATCTGAGCTCCTTTCTCACTGAAGGAAACTGAGGTGTCTTTGCTTGTGGCATCCAGTCTGGAACTATAAGGAGAAGGGAGGGGACCTCGGTGTACTATCTGCTTACTCTCTTCCTGGAATGCAGGTGATGGTGACTAATGTCACCTCCCTTCTCAAGACTGTGAAGGCAGTAGAGGATGAGGCCACCCGGGGCACGAGGGCACTTGAGGCCACCATCGAGTACATAAAGCAGGAGCTCACGGTAAGAAGCCAGCTGTTGCCTCCCTGGGCACCAGTGTCCAACACCTGACCCCAGCTTCTCTGAGATTCTTCTAAAGAGATTTTACCTAGAGCCCCTGGAATGGGGAGGCCACTCATCTACCTTCTGGTAGAGTTTGTAACTAATCACTCCATGTGTCACTGAGTTTGGCCAGGATCTACTGGTGTTATAATTAAGGAACTAATTGGTATGTATTAGGACAATTCAGTTTTAATTCCACTAAAATTATAGCATGAAATCAAAGCATTAAAGAAGGTTCCCAGCCAAGGGGAAAGTTTATATCCAGGTTCAATTGCAGCCTCTCTTGATTCACATGGCCACTGGTGACAGCTCACACTGTTGCACATGGGTGGAATTGGAGCCAGAGGTTCACCATTAGGAAGAAAGCCTAGCCTTTGGATGAGACTCTTCCCCTTCACATCCAGCTCCCTTCTTTTTGAGATGTCCAAATTTAAAGACATCAGCCCTTTTCTTTTTGCCTTGTTCTAGCCCTATAGATTGAGAAAACTAGAGTTTCTGCAATAGGGATGTTATGTGCTTCCTGTGACCCCGTAACACTTATACATCATCTCTCCCTAACCCTACAAATGGAAATATGCTGGAAATGATGGTTTTTCCCTGATATTTCTTTTTAAAACTGATCTCGGATGCAACTTTTCTGTGGGGGAGCGGGGACATGGGGAACCTGCCTCTGCTGCTGGTTGTTCTTTACCTTTAGAGTCATCTTTAGAGGGTGACCTGAGACACAACAGTGCTTTAAACATGAACAATTCTAGGTTTTGGTAACAGGAACTTGGATTCTTTTGTCCTGTCTTTAATGGATCCAGCTTAGTTCATATTTTAAAGCAGGATCTAAAACCACAGGAGTAACTCAGAGCCTGGTAGCATCCTTAAGCACGGCTACCTGGCCCTCCTGCATGGTCTTGGCATTTCCTATCTGAAGTCTAGACACATATTCACTCAGACAGGCATGGGCAGGCCTCATGATGGTAATAGAAGAGAGCTGAAATTCAGAGCTCTCCTGGGAAATTATGAACACTTGGTTGTTCTGAATATATCACTATGATTTCTAATTCATCCAGATTGTGTTTCCATAGAGCATGTACCACAAGGGCCACAGTGGTGTGGAGTACTCTGTACCTGTGGCCTTCATTCCATGGTAGCATTCAGAAGTGGCCTAGAATTTGTGGTCCTAGGTGCTTAATTGCAGCTGTCCATTCTTAGGGGTAGTGATGTTTGACACTTGTTGGCGCACGGCAAGGATGCAGGGAACGCTTCCCTGCTGAAATGTGGTTGCTTAGTGCTGAAGACAGGCTATCCTCACCTGAGATGGGGGTTCTCCTGTGCAGGGATTCAGTATACAGTCACAGCATCTGTCACTCATGTTAAAGAGACAAGACCAGATGGGTTTGAAGCAGAAACAGCTTGACTGACAGATGAGGCTTTAAAATGAGGTATTGAGGTATTGACTTACCATGGTGAATTTATTTCAGCTTCTCTAAAGGTATATGTGTGTGTTTAAATAATTCAGTGTCATTGTGGCACATTCGACATGAACACCTCTGCACAATTATGCAGTTGTATTTATAAGGCAGGCTAAGAATAATAGGATCTTATGCTTCATCTCCCAATCTCACACCTGCTTAAAAGGGGTGAGGCGCACCCAGAGTGATATATCCAGGTCAGTCCTGCTCTGGAACCAGCATCGGGGCTAAGAGTTTCTGGAAACTACTGAAACATGAGCAAGGCTGGGAGAAGAGAAGTCAGAAGTTGAATGGGCTAACACTGTAGAAATGTCTCTTACCACATTGCTCCCATGGATGCCAAATATTATATGAGAGAGGCTTGTTCATGCCAGACTCTTGAAAGCAAGAGACATGTTACTGTACTCAAGTTAAATTTCTAATTTTCTGTCATTTGATAATTTCTTCCAATGGCTGGCTTGATTTTCAGACACTGAGCTACAGCCTGGTTGCAGAAACCTAAGTTATTTTTGTCCTTTTATATTTTTTCACCTATTTAATTTCTGCCTTTCAGGTGTTCCAGTCAAAAGAGGTACCTGAAAAGACATCATCACCTGAAGAATCAATAAGGATGACGAAAGGCATCACCATGGCAACAGCTAAAGCCGTAGCAGCTGGGAACTCATGTAGACAGGAGGACGTGATTGCCACTGCCAATTTGAGCCGGAAGGCTGTGTCCGATATGTTGACAGCTTGCAAGGTAAAGGCTGTGATGTTATTTAGGATGACAATTAATTCTCTGCCATGACTGAGTCATTCCAAGTTGTCTGGAGGAAGGGAGAGGCTGGTTGTGTAGCAGCTCCATACCTTAAACTTGATGATAAACATTCATGTAGAAGACAGCGTATGCATCAGCCCGGGAAACAACTCTCGCAGGTCCTTTTGAGTGGGAGTGAGCCTTGCTGACTTGATCCTCCCACTTCTTAACAGTTATCCTAAACAGGTAGGGAGTCTTCTGATACAATGTAGTAGAGGCCACTCTAAAAGTAACCAATGGGACTGCAGCATTTAGTTCCACATGCTATGCATGGACACCAGATCCCCTCTTCTGCCTGAATCCATTCCTGCCTCATGGCTCAGACTTTTTGTGCAAGGAGAGGGGCTACCATTGCTGGCTGAGGAAGTGAATTAGAGGAACACAACGAACTTGGGGAATACCTTTGTTCTCTGTGCCAGACAACTTGGAGGAAACTCTTCTGATCGCTGGGTGATTAGAACAGCTGCCCTGAGCCCAGGCTTGGTGAGGGAGCCATGGGGACCCGAGCCCTGTGACCTTTATTTTAATTTTTTCTTTATCTATTAAGAAAGTAAATCATCAATGCCCCACATTGTCCTATGTCCCACTGAGCACCCTTACCCTTCCAAGGGCAGCTTTAGCTTCTAGCAGTGATTGATCTAGGATGCCCCCTGCCCTGGTTAAATGAAGTGGGGGAATTAACCACAGAAGTTGAAACCTAGCTATTATAGATCAGAGTCTAGAGGGAACAGGCATTCTTTGTGATAAAGAGAGTTCTGTTTAGGCTGCTGCTGATAGCCTTGCAATTCCTCAGAAGGGGTCAGGTGATTTGGAGGTACCTGGCTTAAGGAAAAGGGAAGCAGTTGGCCAAAGGCACATGTGTGTAAGAGCCTGTCCACAGGAGACAACTCCACCTCTGTGGGTCTCCTGAGCATGATGGAGGCTTGAGTAAGGGTGGATTGGGAAGACAAGAGTGGATAGATAGAAATGGCCACTATGATGAAGGACTGTGCATGCTAGACCAGGGAGTTTGGACTATGTCCTGAAGCCACAGATATTTGCCACTTTGATGTGCTCAGTAGAATTCACCCACCCAGAAATAATAATTTTCAAAAAGCTCAACTGGAGTATCAAATTTGCCTGGCAAGATATAACCCAAAGGCATCATGGTGCCCAGATGTAAGACCTCATAGTTTTAGAGAGGATATTATAAATATATTCTCTCATTTGATCCTAGATGAGAAAGGCAAAATTAATGATTCCAGTATGTCAAATGGTAAAACAGGGACTCAGAGTCAAAATGACATAACTAAGCTCACACAGCTCTTCACTGTGAGAACCAGGATGAAACCAGCACTCTGATTCCATGGCCACTCTGGTTCTGCCTAGCTGTGATGCTCAAGGTTCCTGGGGCTAAAAATTGATAGGCATTTTTGTCCCCATGTTACTGACATGAAAAGAGGAACAGAAAAGACCACAATTAAGGCAGAAATGGAATGCAACTCAGATTTTTAAGTTTCTCTTGCATAGGTTCCCCTGTTTCCAGGGGACGAGGTCAAGTAAAAAGGGTGGAAACTGTCTGCCCAGCCTTAGTTTTTCTGGGGTCAAACCATCTTGGATTTTCAGGACAAAATAACCCACAGAATGCTGAAGCATATGTTTCTTTACATTCCAAAAATCTGACTTAACAATAAGTACCACTGCTGCACCCCAAGACACCTATTAAGAGAGGACTTTTTTTTTAGCAAACTTATGAACAATGGTGATTCCTTTGGGCTCCTGCATCCCTCACCCCTTTGCAGAAAGGAATTAGGCAGCTTGACAGAAAAGGGAATGCATGCAGTAAGTCACATGCAGAAAAACAAGGCTGCTGAGTGGCAGATCAAGAAGAAAGTCTCCAACACACAGAATGGAGGGCCAAGTTGCCCTATCCAAGTAACTTGGGGCTAAGTGGGTAACCAGGGCAAATGTGGGGGAACAGCAAGTTCCAGACTGGCTCATCTTATCAGAATGGGAGGATTACACTAAGTCCTCAGGCTTACCCAATTCCAAAGTCAAATCTCATGTGTGTTTCTGTCTGTCTTGCTTTCATGTGTATATGTTTATGTTAGATACAATTTTATGTCTGCTTTTATAATTGATATGATGTGGCTATTTCTCTGTTGCTGTGAGTCATTATCACAGACTTTTTAAAGGATACAATGTACTCCATTAGCAAATATTCTCTTTCCCCTATTATAAAATATTTAGGTTGTCTACATTTATTTTTATCATGAACTTTACTATAATAAACATCCTTAGGCATATCTGGTTTTTCTGTGCTTTGGGTTATTTCCTTAGGCAAGACTCCCAGAAGTGGAATTAGTTGGTCAAATGGTATGATATTTTAATTACTGCCAGATTGTTCTCCTGTAGTGTTCTGCTGAGTTACACAGTCACCATAGTAGGCAAGCATACTTTGATCTTGCCTCTCCCACACCCTAGATGAGGGCCTTGTGCAGAACCTGCTGGAGGTGACACTGAGGAGCAGCGCAGCCTATGTCTTCCCATAGTGCTGTCTCCTCAAACAGGCATGGGTTCTGTGCCTCATAATTAGAGTCTCAGGGATGAACAAAACAAGTGTTCAGGGCATAGCTCTGGGCTCCTAGTTTCCGCATCCTAGACCCGTTAGACTTTAGATGAGTCAAACCTAGTTTACAAATGACAAATGCTGGCCACTTCCTCCAGGGTGGTGCTCAGAGCAGGAGTGAGCCCACAAGTGTTCCCACCTGCGCCCACCACCATTCCTAGGAAGAGGGGCTTGAGAGGAAAAAACATGGAGGCTGGTCAGTGCTCCCCTTCAGCCTCGACCTTTTGTGCTGATGGGTGATTTCTCTGTTGCTTGCTTGTAGTTTAGTGTGTTAACTATTTCTGTAAGGCCCCCAAGTTTTTTTCAGAGTGAAGCTGCAGCAGGGAAAATGTCTAAGGGGGTGAGGGTGCTATCAGTTTTAGCAAATAAAAGGGTGTAACATACTTGTATTGTACTAAAAGTTTTCCTTGTGTATGTGAAATATAGATTTAACTGGGTACATTTTATCCGACAACCCTATGAATCAGAATGGATGTATCATGAATGACTCAAGGTGGCAGGTCACAAGTACAAGAAAAAAGCATGAGATATTGTGTTCACCATATGCTCTGGTTTGCTTATCTCGGCATTTGTATAATGTGAGATGAGTTATTTACAGTGCTTGAGGGCGCCGGGGAGCTGCTATCTGAAGTTTCCCAGGAGCCCAAGGGCCGTGGTCACGGAGACCTCACTGTGACTGTGGTGTGGTTGGTGGAGGAGTAAGAACCTGGGCTTCATTAGCCTGTGGACAGAGAAGGGGCCTTCAAGAGGCAGCTGCTGACAAGAGGCCAGGCTGAGCTGGGGTTAGTATGTCTCCTGCTGGAAGGCCTTATTATGAATCTTTTCTGGACATCTTCATGTATATAGAATTCTTTTCATTTAAAAAAACAAAGGCAGCAAAGAAAGGGGGATTGGGTTCAGTTATCTCTGTCATTTAGCCCTCTGTCAGTCTGTTGACACTACAGGGTCAACACACAGACTGACAGAGGACCTGCAGTGGAGGCAGAGAGGGTAGAGGAGGAACTTTCTTTTCTACCCAGGGAGTCAAGTTGGGGGAGGCGTCAGAGGCGGCAAGCAAGGTGTCCTGCTGAACTACTCAGCTCTGCTGGGTGGGTGACTTGTCAGCCAGCTCTTCCAGCTTCAAGACCTCAACATTCCTTTCTGTTTCTAGCAAGCATCCTTCCACCCTGACGTCAGTGAGGAGGTGCGATCCAGAGCCTTGCGGTACGGGACGGAATGCACCCTGGGCTACCTGGACCTTCTGGAACATGTCTTGGTGGTGAGGAGGGGTGTGCATCAGGGCTGGGTGAGGGGAAAGCTGTGTTCTTATTTCAGGATCATCCCTTTTGGAGCATCAGACACCTCTTATGAGGTCAGGTCTGGCCTGAGTAGAAAAGTCTGATCCAGTTAGTTTGCAAATGCAGTCTGCAGGAAGATGCAGTTAGAATCTGTGAGAACCTGGCTCTATCTGGCACCAAATAGGCAGAACTAGTATGGAAGAGGAGTGTGAAGAGAGGGAAGAAGCCATGGGGGTATCTCAGCCACCCTGAAATGTATAAGGAGGTTTTGTTACAAAGACCCTAGCACACCCTGGGAGGGTATTGAAGCTTCTGAAAAGTCACACTTGCCCCTGTGAAGAACTAGAGGGGACTAAGGCCAATGCCACAAGTGTTCTGCTAACCTCCTATGACTTCCTCCTGTCCTTGAATGAATGGCTTAAATCACACTGAAAGTGACTCCCCCAGCCTGGTATACCCAGCATGGACCTAGTTCAGAAGATGAAAATTGAAGACACCAGGCAAAAGGCATGATGATTATAACTATGGATTGTCCTTACAGGAGCTTTGGGTGGGTACAGCAGACTCCCAGTTCCTAGGGTGGCCTGACTCCCCACAGACCATGAGGTCCTAAACACAAAGAACCAAGAAGTACAGTGGGTATTTGTTTCTGTCGAATCCTAGGAGCCACTTTACAATGATATAAAGGCTAGGACAGACCAAAGAGAGTTTGTTCCGCAGTTAGGAAGACCCCCAGAAGAGAACTGATGATGTCTTCCCACCTACAATTGCACTGTTCTTTCCAAACCAAAAAACAAAAAAGATTCAACAGACCACCTTCAGATACATAATTCTTGTACCAGAAGTCCACCATCAGGCCTTTTGTTTATTGGACATTCTGCTTTTTCTCATTTTACTCTTGTATAGTTTGTGAGCTAGCAGGCCAAAGAAATGATTTGCAACTCATGGAGGTTAGTCCCAGGTTGAGGTCACCCTGCTAAGCAGAGATGGCCTAATCCCAGTTCTTGTTACTCCCAGCTTTGCGCTCATTCTAATATTTCATTGACTTCTCCTTAAAAATGAATTCACTTCTGATATTAACCATCTTGGGTCTTCTAAGAGATCATTGTTGTTCTTTATCCAGGTCACTGTGGTCAGTACTGGGTAGATCTTCTGGGGAGAATAACCAGACTGGGATTATAAGCTTTGGACTCCAGCCTGAATCTCCATGAATAGAAATCAGTGTAGACACTCTGGGCCAAGGAGAGAGTATCTTAGCCCGTCAGTGTTCACAGGCCAGGACCTCTGCTGCCAAGCAAATTAGATGTGCTGGGATGTAATGAGAGTATTTAGCCCATGAGCAAGCCCACCAGGAAATTCAGGGTAAAAAGAATAAAACCAGCAAGACTTCCAAAAGACATCCTTTTCTTTATGGAAGGCTACACAGTGGTCACCCTTCTCCTCAGAGTGTACACTCCAAGAGGTTCCATGGTTTGTTCTGAATTATATATATACTATGTTTTTTCTTATACATAATTATCTATGAGAAAAGTTTAACTTTAAGCAAAGTAAAAGATTAACAAGAGTTAGTTAAAAATTGAACAATCATAACAGTATCTATAAAAGTTATTTAAAACTTAAACTATTCATTACTGGAATTTTCCATTTAATATTTTCAGACCGTGGTTGACCTTGGTGGAAAGCAAAACTGTGGATAAGAGGCATTTACTGTGTGTGTTTTGAGTCACAGCGAACCTTGTTATAACTGAAAACTAGACAGAGTGGTGGAAACAGTAGGTTTCAAAGCCTTGAGTTCAAACCCTGGTTCTGCCACATAAAGAGCCGCGTGGACACTGACATATCTGGGTTTCAGTTTCCTCAGATGTTAAACAAGCAGTTTTTGAAGGATTCAGTGGGCAGGCCTGGAAACCCAGGGCTACGTGACTGCACTAGCATTTGCTAGGTGTTTCACTGAAGTCTACTGTCTGAAAGGCGCTGTGTTGGGCTGATGGGAGGGGCTGGGCATCCTAGGTTAGGGTTTGAATTTCTCCTCCTTCTTTACTTTCTCTCATGCTTCTATTTTTGTCTTGTTCATTGTGGGGGAAGGAAGGAGATCCAGGGATCTGCTTCTTTGCATTTCCTCACTTTTCCCAGTCCCATTTCCTGATGAGCCATGCTCTCTCGCTCACTTGTGCCTATGTCTGTGCATCAGCCCCTTACACAGCATCTGTGGCCCAGGCCCCACACATGCAGCCCCCAGACTGGCTGTTCCCACCCTTATTCACTGCATGGGGTCCAGCTTTATTCCCAAAAAATCCACAAACCTGCCAGCCTTTGCAGTGGTGCTAAAGCGAAGAAATCCCTTCACCCTTCAGGAAAAGTAAGCTTATTTGGGGGAGAAGAATTCTCCCTTCATAGGAAGTGCCAGCACTTCTCTTAAGGAGAAGTTTCTCCCAGGGGATTAGGAAAAGGAACTCTGATAGGGTTCCCTCCCTGACCTTGTGCCCACTATAAACCCTGTCCCCTACCTGGGAACCGCAGTGGTGTCTGCCAAGGTACCACCCCTCTCCCTTCCACTCCAGTTTGAGTGGGTGAGTGCAATGAAATGAGGGGTCTTCAGATTTTCCATGTGTCTCTTCAAGGGACTGGGCAGATGGCCAGCTTCTGTGACTTAGGAGAGATTGAAGGGAACATTAGGAAAAGTCCAGGAACCGGGGCTGGGGATGTGGCTCAAGCGGTGGCGCGCTCGCCTGGCATGCGTGCGGCCCGGGTTCGATCCTCAGCAGCACCACATACCAACAAAGATGTTGTGTCCACCGAGAACTAGGAAAAAATAAAAGGTTGAAATTCTCTCTCTCTCTCTCTGTCCCCCTCTCTCGCTCTCTCTTAAAAAAAAAAAAAAAAAGTCCAGGAACCATTCCCAGGCCACAGAGACCCCTGCTTTCAGGCTACCTAAGTACTATCAGACCTCAGCCCTAACAATAATCAGCAGGAAGAAGGGGCACTTGCTGCAGGAATACCCAACATCACATGTAATTTGGAGGTTTCATGAGAGGTGTTCACTGGGGCCAGAGGTTAGCAGGAAGGGGACAAACCAGTACTTTCTTTCCCAGGGCCCCAGAAAGAATAGACGATGCTTCCATAGGCAGATATGTGTCTCTTATGACTATTCACGTTTTCCTTGGTTAATGTTCTTCTCATGGATCATTCCTTGAATTTACTCCAGAAACAGGACTCTTAGAGTCAAGTGGTTAATGTATTTGTTGAAGGCTGACCACCTGAGTTTCTTTTCATCATTCTATACAGTTTGTTATCACTGTAGTAATTATTGTAGACATAGAGGTTTATGGTAGCTTGTGCTAAAGGGAATAGGAAGAAAAGCTCCATGATGAAACTAATTTTATAAGATAAATAATTTATCTTCTGCAATGAGAAATTTTTTTTTGTACCTCAGGTGACAAGTGCCAATGGTTCAGACCATTGATGTGAATGGTTTAGCATCATGCATCATGCATTTATGTTTCATAGATTTTTATTCTCTTTAGTAAGCTAGTTACATTCTCTGAAAGATATTTTCTAATAAAAACACAGTAAGGAAACAAGCCTTTAGCCAGGATTATAGGTGCACCTATAATCCCAGCAGCAGGAGGATCACGAGTTCAAAGCCAGTCTCAACAACTTAGAGAGACCCTAAGCAACTTGATGAGACCCTGTCTCAAAATAAAAACGAAAAAGGGTTGGAGATGTGGTTCAGTAGCTGAGTGCCCCTGAGTTCAATCCCTAGGAGGGGAGGGAGGGAGGGAGGGAGGAAGGAAGGAAGGAAGGAAGGAAGGAAGGAAGGAAGGAAGGAAGGAAGGGCTTCATTTCCAAAGAATTATTATAAATATATAGGAAAGTTCAATTTCCTAACTAAAAATCGTAGAACCCTATGACATTCTGTAACCTCAGTTGTTGATGTTGGTTGATGTCTACTGCTAAAAATAAGTTTGCATCCCACATTATTCTCCTAACTCCTTCAGCAGAGCTAACTTTGAGGACAAGAGCCAGAAAGATGGTTCCACACCAAGACACTTTCAGGCTATAAGACCAATGAACCCAGGTAGAAACTCAAGAATGAGATGAGGAACATGAGATCTGCCAGATGTGGACACCAGTGTTGAATTTTCAGAGGGAATTTCCTACTTACCGGGTAGGAAAATGAAAGCCAAATTGCTGTTTTAAAAACATCAGAATTCTATGAAATATTCTCTAGGGTATAAATAAAGAATAATAAAATTAGATTAAATATTTACAGGTGATAAGGGAAAAGCATTTGGCACAACCAGAAAGTTCAGCCCATACATACACCCGGCCCCTTATCCTAATCCTTGATGCAGAAAGACCTGTGTGCCCAAATGACTGTTAGCTCAGTCTAAAGCAGAACTATAACATATTTTAAAATAGCCCTCCTGGAATGTTTTAAAAATTGATTCTTGTTTGTAGCAAATCAAAGAGAACAGGTGAGATTTCTGAAAGCTGAAGTTTGGTCAGAGAGTGTCTGTTTTGGACTGTTTTTCAAAAGAGAAAAAGAGAAAACTCTAGAAATTAGGGTTTGGAGAAAGCGACCAACAATCTGCAGGATTAAATCAAAGTCATTTTTAGATGGCACAAAAGAGAGTCAGGGCCCTTCTTTTGTGGCTTGTCTTAAATTTAGGTATATGAAACATGGGTGAACTTCCCGTGCCTTAACCTTGTTCAGATAAAACATCTTAGAGTTAAGGATTCTTCACCTTTTCTGGCTGGTTTGTACATTTTAGTTATACTTTGGAAAAGACTAGAAAATACAAAAAACAGTATCAGCATCCATGTTCCCACCATCTATAATTAACTGCCTACCGGCATTAATTAGCATATTGTCATATTTGCTTTAGATCTTTGTTTTAAAGAAACATTCATGAATTTTGTCTTCTTTCAATTCTCTCCTTCCCTCTATGTAGGTAAAAAAAAAAAAATGACTATCATGAATTTAACATTCTTAACCTTTTGTAGGTCTGTGGCCCCTTTGAGCTGAAAGCCCTGGAGTATTTCCTGCTGCCCTCCCACAAAACCTCATCAAAGAAACATCCAGACCCACAGAATGTTCCTTAAACTGTTAAGAAGGGTCACAGACCCAAATACTCTGTTGGAACCTTCTGGCAAATCTAGAATCACTGCCTGCTAGAGAATTTCCTTTTTTTTTTTTTTTTTTTTTTTTTTTTTTTTTTTTTTTTTTAAGAATCCATTTATTTTTCAGCAGACATTGTCATCTGCTCTGGAAGCTTCCCTGTAGGCTTTAGAGCTTCGAGTTGCTGCCTCCTTATAGAGGATTCATGTTGCAAGCAAGAAGCAGCCGCTTTGCCTCAGAGTTCAGTATTTCTGCAAAACCATAAAATGAGATCATTGACAGGGTTAAAATTTACTTCCACCACCAGAAAATGTTAATGTGGGTCTGTCTGTTGCCTGCTGTTAGAGATCATGTTGACTTAATGACAGAATAAAAATAGAATTCCTCTCCTCCTGCCTGTCTGTAACTTAGGGCCGCTCCCTGTCTTAGAGCAGTATACAGAGTGGTACTTTCTACCTCAAGGGCTCTTCTTTTAGAGACAGAAGGTTTTAATCATTCCACTTTAATGATATAAGTGATTTTCTCCACCACACCTGTAACTTTTTCCCAGCTGTAGTGGGGCATAACTAATATATAATAATAACATGCAAAGTATATGTTTGAGCATGGACATATGAATACATCTATAGAAGCCTCACCACAACTAAAATAATGAATATATTTATTAACCTGCAAAATTCTTGCAACCACTGATCTGTTTCTGATTGTTATGGATTTGTTTGCATTTTCTGGGCTTTTCTATAAATGGAATCTCATCTACTCCTTTTTCCTCTACTTCTTTCACTCTGCATCAGTAGTTTCAATTCCATTCATGTTGTTGTGTGTAGCAAAAATTTGCTACGTTTATTGCTGAGCAGTTTTCTATTGGAAGGCTGTATCCTCCTGTGTTTATCCATTGCTTTTAAATGGATGAATTTCATTGTGTGAAATTATCTCTTAATAGGGCTGCTTAAAAGAAGAGAAATCCAGAATCAATATGGTCTTAAATATAAAAGAATAATAGGAGTGAAATATAATCCTAAAAATAATTTGATGACTTGTGGGAACAGAAACATTCAGTTTATCCCAGTGATTAATATCAGTTCATTATGCTTAATATCTGAGTTAAAAAGATGCATTTTGATTTTACTTTCATGTTTATCCAAGTTCTTTCTGCACATTTTCCCTCAGCTCTAAAGTGCTATCATTGTCTTTTTTTTAATTTTAATAATACACATTAGTCTTCCTGACCCTTGCAAGAGATTATCATGAAAATGAAATGACAAGCCACACCCTGGGAGAAGCTATTTGTAGAGCATGTATCTGATAAAGAATTTGAACCTAAAAAATATAGAGAATTCTAAGACTTTGATATTAAAACTGAAAAGCCCCAAATAGGGAAAGATCCCAATATACATTTCACTAAAGAAGATAACAATGTCAATTAAAATTGCAATGGTATTGTGGCACATCCACTATAATAGCTAAAACTAAAAGCAACAGTCGCCCTAATTTGATTTTAGAACAGTTTCATCACCCATGAAGAAAACTTGCAGCCATTAGCAGTCACTCCACTCTGCTCCTAGTGCTAGATCTCCATTAATCTACTTTCTGCCTCTACTGATTTTCATGTTCTGGACTATTCTTATCAATGGAATCATAGAATCTGTGGTCTTTTGTGACTGGTTTCTTTCACTGCACATAGTGGTTTTAAAAATCCATTCATATTGTAGCAGATGTCACTAATTAATTCCTTTGCATGACTAAATAGCATTCCATTGTGTGGATAACCCTAAGTTCAATTTATGATTTTTTTTCTTCTGTAATATATGCTTTTAGTTATCTATTTAAAATATTCACCAAATCCAAGATTACTAAGATGATGATGATGATGATTTTCTATATAGTTTAAATATAGAATCTATATAGGTTTAATATAGAACACATGAAGACAGGAGAAAATTATAACTATCTCTGGACAATCCTGGTGGAGCCTGAGTAGGTGAATGATATAGGTTTAATATAGTTTTAATATAGAATCTATATATGTTTATATTCTCAGATTTATGATGTATTTCTAGTTACTTTATGCATATAATATGGGGTATGAGTAAAAGTCCATTTTTTTACCTGAGATTATCCATTTTCATATTGGTCTAGCACCATTTTTGAAAAAAAATTATTGTGTCCCCTTTGAATTCAAGGTACCTTAGCAACTTACTGAAAATGAGTTGTCCATATGTATAAATCTAGTTAGACTTTCCTGCTCCCCTGATCCATATGTTTATATACTGCTATCATATTGTCTCTTATCAATTTTTATTTTTAAAAATTAATAAAAATAAAAATTTGGGGTTGTGTTGAACCTGTAGATTGATCTGGGGAGAACTGACATCTTAACAATATCAAGTCTTCTGATCAATGAACACAGTATATCTATATTTTTAGGCCTTCTTCAATATTTCTCAATAATATGGGGATATATTTTGTAGTTTTCAGTGTTCAGGTCTTGTGTGTCTGTTATCAAAATTCATCCTAGCTATTTAATAACTTTTTTGCTAAGATAAATGGTACTGGCTTTTAACATTTTCAATTCTCACTTTTCATTGCTAGCATACAGAAATGAAATTTCTATATGTATATTCTATATGTATATTCTATGACCTTGCTAAACTCACTTATTAGTTCTAGAAGTTTGTTTTTCTTATGTAGATAAATGTTTGTGTCTTCTGCAGACACAAATTACTTCTCCCTCATTGTGTGTATTGTTTACTTCTTTTTTATTTATTTATTTTTGCCTATTGCACTGGCTAGGAATTCCAGTACAATATTGGTAGAAGTGTGAAAATAAACATTCTTACTTTATTCTTGACCTTATGAGAAAACTCTGAGTCCTCCACCATTAAGTTCGAGTGTTCCCACCTTGGCTATCACTCTTATTCATGTTCTGTTGACCACTATAGAAAAATCATTTGATGATGTTTATATGCTGCTTTGTTACTCAGACCCTGAGCCCTAATCATCATTCACCTACTCAGGCTCCACTAGGATTGTCCAGAGGTAGTTGTAATTTTCACCTGTCTCCATGTGTCTGGATGTGAAGATTCCCATTGTGAAACATGGGAAGAGATGTAGAAAAGAATGTTGGAAGACAATTTCAAAATTAGGAAGGAGCAAGATGGTGTATATCAGAATTTAAATCTGTAGTGAAAGATGGTAAGGAGCTCTCATCCTATCTCATGTTCTTGTTTCCATTCTTGGATGAATTTGAAAAGAAATCAGCTGAGAATGTCTTTTAAGTCGGTTTGGTGTTTGAAGGTTCTACTACCTGTTTCAAAACCATAAAAAACAAAAAGCATAAAACAATCTTTAAAACCTTTGAAACAGGTTAAAAGAGGGCACATTCTCGTGACTTCTCCCAAGAAAGTCTGTGGTCAAAACCATGGAAATGGATTGTTTGTACCAGAATGACCATCCTGAACTGTGAGCTGTTGCTCACACCGGGATTTTATCTGCAAGATTCCCCAACTGCACATCTTCTCCAGTCCAGTGTTTGCTTTGTCTCAAGTACTAGCTGGCTCTTAGCCTGGGGCTCTTGTGTTCACTCAGAATGTTCTTATGGTTTAAGTAATTTTCATGAGCACATATTTTTTTATATATAAATAAAGTATGAATAAAGGACAACTAAGAACTTCATCTCCTTTTGTGATCTTTGAGAACTATCAAAAGAACCTTTAGAGACACTCCAGGTTCCATTTCCCGCTTTTCATCTGAGGAAACTAAAGCCCAGTGAGTCTTAAGTGCTTACCCCCACCCCCCATACCCTGCTGTCACTAGGAGATAGATAGGCAACAAAAACCAGGATGTCTGGCTGCACACCCTCCGATGACAACTCCTCCTATCACCACAGTTGCCATCTTCTCATGCACTTGACTTGTCCTTCACTCATAGATTCTTCAGAAACCAACACCAGAACTCAAGCAGCAGCTGGCTGCTTTCTCCAAGCGTGTCGCAGGTGCAGTGACTGAGCTCATCCAGGCAGCGGAAGCCATGAAAGGTAGGTCAGATTCTCCTTCCTCTTGCAGGCTGGCTCAGGGACAGTGCTTAAGACAGTCACTGAGTAGAGGGTCAACACACCAGACCTCCTAGCCTTTCATTGGCAAATGCAACCAGGAGTATACAAGGTTCTATTTAAACAAATGCACCTAGAGTTATATTTTAAAAGTAACATTCTCCATGATACTTGTGTTTTCTCCAGTCTTTATATTAAGTGCTTCTACTTAAATGGTATAGTCCATCAGAACTGCTCACTGTTCTTAAGAAATTCACCATTTATTTTCATTCTTCAAGATACTTATTCTCATTTAAAAAACAAACACCTGTGTTTAGAAAACAGTGCTGAGTACCTGTTTGCACACCCCTTCTTGTTTATAGAGAAGTAATCAATTCCCAGGGCAAGATTGTCTCACTAACGTCCCTTACTTTGAATTGAGCAGAGTGGCTTTTCCCCATGTGTTCCCAGAAGAGAATACAAACTGCTGTGGTCTAAAGTCTAAAGTCTCCTAAGTTAGAAGGTAGGGTAAGGCTCCAGCCTTGTTCCATGAGATCTGGATCTTTGAAGCTGCTGTTGATGACCACTTCTATGGCTAAACACACAACTGAGCAGAAAATCACCTTACCTCCCTTACCGTTTACATCCAGATGAGAGCTAGAGACAAGGTCTCTTAGGGCAATATAGATAATAGGTGGTGGGCCTCTATATAGATACTGTATGTGATTAAGGCAATATCCTGACATCATCTGCACCTATCAAGAATGACCTTTTACTTTTTTTTTTTTTTTTTGATATTAGGAACAGAGTGGGTGGATCCAGAAGACCCAACCGTCATTGCAGAAACGGAATTATTGGGGGCTGCAGCATCCATTGAGGCTGCTGCTAAGAAGTTAGAGCAACTGAAGCCAAGAGCAAAACCTAAAGTGAGTGTTGCTTTGTAGTTTCTTGGTTACTTGTCTGATATCAGTGGGTCTTCTAGGGGCTGACCCTGGAATTCCATGTGCAGCAGGGAGCTTGTCTTCTTCCCCGGGGTTAAACTAGCAAGTAGCAAACTTGCTCCACCTGCCCAGCATCTTTTTACAGAGTATGGAAAAAAACAGTGGGTGAGTCTTTCAGGTTAACCACCCAGAAAAATACCTCTGGGCATCCAGAGGAAGAATCAGGGCGTTTACAATCTTGACTTAGTTCCATTTATAAAGCAGGCAGTGGGCGCTTCCTGCATGTTCCTGAACATTCCTGATCTGAATGTGAGATTGTCAGTTTCATTTTTCTGATTTCCATTATGCCTTCTACAGAGAAATAGCAGTGTTGGGTCTCTCCTTTCCTTAGAATCCACAGAGAACACTGTGAACCTCAAAAGAGAACCCATTAACATACTTTTTCAGTGTGTACTAGGGACTAGGGTTGGCTGGTTTGTTTTTTCCATGTATGTTTGTCATCAAGATAAATGTTTAAAACGTAAGATCATGAGTGTGTGTTAAGAAAAATAGCCATTTAAAGGAGAGAAATACTTTTAGATTGAACAGGAGGAGGACACTTCCAAAATGAAAAGATGGTGACCTAGTCTTGGGGCAAAGCCAGCCAGCTTAACTATCTTCAGCAGGAAGATGGTGAAAACAGAGGAGGCCTCTTTTTCTTCCCATTTAAACAATGTTTTACTGGTACCTGTAACTTTCCTCCTTTCCAAGGACCCAATACATTAGGAAATGAAATTTGGCTCTTTTCTACAAGAAGAGTTGATGCCCTGGCTTGGGTATTTCATTCTGCCTTGTTGTGTAAGACCATAGAGCACCGAAATGCACCATCTCACCCAGCAGCAGCTCCTAGACTGATGTTGTGTGTAAAATACACAAGAGGATATAATGAGGCCATTAAACTTAGGAGCATACTTAAAACCCTCTAGTCCTCAGAACATATCTCCTGATCATCTTCCTAGACTCAGTGAAGGCATTTAAACTTTTTGTCAACAAGATGTAACATAGGTGTTTTAACTTTTGATTTGGGGGGTTACCAGGGTTCTCTCTGTTGGTCTCTAACCTGAGTATCTTGTATTGTCTGATATTGTCAGTTTTACTTACAAACTTAAGAGCTAAGAATGGGTATAGAGACGATTCCATTTTCTGGTTACATCTTTGTTTCTGCTTTATAAATCAAGTTCATCCTGAATGAAATGTGTACCTTAAACTTAAGAATCAACCACTGGCTAGGATTTAGAGGTCTGGTAGATTTTTCTCCCCTTTTTCCTTACCCAATTTATTATAAGCAACCTCTTCCCATAAGTGGGAAAAACTCCATGTCTCCTCATGACTGAAGTCATGTCAGTAGACACTTTGATTCCACTAGAGATTTAGCTTTGTCCTGATGCAGGTTCCTCCTGACCTCTTTATCAGTCTCTAATCCCTGGGTTTGCTCTTTTTATTCATGTATTGACTTCTTGATTCTTGACTGGAAGAACCAATTTCTAGAGTCCTACCCCATAGGATTGTTATTGAAACAATTAATGAGCTAAAATAGGAATGCAGTGCCTGACATGCCACGAAACTCAGCAAGTGATAACTACATCATCATCGTCACCATAATCATCACCAAAAAACATACTTCTAGGTCTTACTATTATTCTAGGAAAATGACTGAAATGAACATTATTCTATAGATCCCTGGAGAGAGGGGAGCTGACACTGATCAAATACGAGTCTCTTGCCAGACAATCTTCTAGGTACTTTATATTTTAACTCATCTGAGCCTTGCAAAGAGTCTGCCGGGAATCAGAGGCACCAAGATGTAGGGTCTTTTCAAGGTCGAATCACCATGACGCACCTGAGAGGGGCACACATGGGCTCTGAGCAGCAGTTTTAGTCTGCCCCCCACTGTAAAAGAAGGCTGATCTCATCCCTCAGGGGCTGTTGTATTGTGCACAAACCTTTGAATCATTAATCCCACCTCCAGGAACCTATCCTGAGGAGGGAATCCAAGAGAAGTGTGTGTGAGAGGTATTCCTTACAGCCTTATCTATAGCAATGAGAAGCAGGATGTGAGAAATGTTGAAGTATTAAAACATAGAAATGATGTATGTGGAATGATGTCAAAGGGAAAACATGCAAATATGTGTAGTCACTATGATTATAACCATTTTTAAAAATGGACGTGAAGGAGATCTGTAGAGAATGGATAAGAAATGATAATGGAATTGGGACAATGGAGGGCTCTGTGTTTTAAATTTTCATGAAACAATATTTTAAAATAACAGCATTTAAAAATTAGTAATGACTGCTGAAGTAAGCTAGTGAGGACTTTGTATTAGCAGTGAGGGTTTTGTAGGAAAGCCAAGAAATCCTTCAGTAAAGGTTGAAGTTGACATCACTGATGATTTGAGTCCCTTACATGAAGGTGCCTACTTCAGTGCTTCCCACCTTAACATTAGGAAGGGTGCATGGTAATTCTAGAACACTTTAGAATGGTCTGCTGCCTATGGTTTCCTGGTAACCAGAGGTTCCTGCCACATAGGTATTTTCTGTAAAACTGAAAGAAACCATCAACTCAAAGCAATTGCTATTACAGCCCTATTCCTATAACTTTATCTACCCCCACCACACACAGGCACACACCCACAAACATGGCTTCCTTTCATAACTAGGGAGCATTTGCACTGTTCTGAATGATAGTTTGGGGAAGGGGTAATAATTTTGTTTCAACTGCTCTGCTCACCACACATCTTCAGGTTGCCTGTTTTTTTAAAAAAAAATATCTATGGTTTATGAGATGATTCTGTTATATTCTGACCTCAGGCCCTTAAATTTTAAGTATCTCCTTTTTCCTGGAATCTCCCACATATGAATGACGAACAAATGATACACTATTGAATCCACTGTTCACTTGGGAAGATGAGGTAAGGGAAAAATAAGAATGCCCAAACGTGCTGGTGCATGTGCTGACAATATCGCTAATGGCGCCGTTTCCACACCTGCAGACAGACCTGTGCTCCAGAGGCAGGTTTGGAAGTTGCTGCAATGGTGACCACCCCCTGCAGCTGTAGCCTTCAATGTTGTGCCTATTCTCAAGCTCAGTCAAACCTGGATGCCTTTTCTGCAGGCCTCTGTGTGATATGTTTGATATATTAGGTTGTTATTTAATCCAACTATATATCAAACATATTCCTACAGTGTCTTGCCCTGTCTCCGGGGGTTCGTAACAAAGTTTATAAGGCAACAGGAAAAGAATATGTTAAAATCATAAATAGAGTTAGAAGATGGAGTGTTCATTACATTTCATTATGTTTTATTCCAGTTCTTCTTATAGCATTTGAGACCTGTATCAATAATTTTAGATTATTTGTTTATTAGAGAAACAAATCATAATTACTGATGTTTCATAAGAGCTTGAGATATTTTGTACAGCTTAGTTGTGTACTTGATTTTAAATAATGGAAGATTCCAACTCATGTCTATGACATGAGATAAAGGTTAGGATTTTAACCTCCAAACACATCTAGATTTGTATTTTGTTTCAGCTCATTTTTATCCTGATCTTCAGTGGTAGAATGCTACACCTAGCATGGGCAAGGCTCTAGGTTCAATCCCCAGCAGCGTACAAACACACACACACACACACACACACACACATACACACAATTTTTATGATCAGTTAAAATTCAAGAGCACAAATCAATTATCTGTAACTTTTCTTTCTACTTAGAGTATGAAAATACATAAGCAAAATTAACTGTATCAATTGGTGAGGCATGGGCTTTACACAAACCTCAGTTAAGACTGAATATAGCTAATAAAGGTAATACAATGTGGACATTATTGTATTGAATTTTCTGTTACAGATGAACTCATCAGCAGAAGTTGATAATACTTACAATAAAATGACAATCAGAAAGTAATTCCATAGCCTAATTGGTTGTGGCAGGAAGTTTGGAATTATGGTATAGAAAACATTTTTTTTTCTGGTATATAACAGGCACCTTTGGCTAGTTTTGACATCTTCCTCAGAGACCAACCAATGAAGCATGTGTGAGTTCATTCTGAGTTCTCTCACTAACAAATTTTATAAACATGGCTTTCTGGAGAAAAAAAAAAAAACATGCTCATGGCTCAGTTTTTTGGTGAAAAGAAGTTCTTTTTTTAATAAGCACCCATGAGTATACAAATGAGCAATGCCCTATCCAGAAAAGTGTCCTGGCTATGTCTAGAAGCCATCACCAGGGTGCTTACAGTCAAATGTGTAGTGACAGGGTCACAGATCACAAATGACACAGGGCAGGGATATGCAGTGTTGGAATCCTGGCTTCTGGACTTGTGAAGTGACAACTGTCCCTGAAGTCCTTTCTCATTGAGGAGTGATCTGTGTGTGTCAATAGATGCTCTGCTGGGTGAGTTTTGAGGGCCTGCCCCAATCATCCCACCTTTATACAGTGAGGGGACAGTGGCCTTTGTTTTGAGTCCACTTGCTATTGTTTAAAATGACAAAGGGCCTGAAAATAAACAGAAAGTCATTATGAATCCAAACAGTTTTTAAAGGACCTTCAGATGAAGCCCATTAATTTAAAGTGGTGGGAATTTCACGTTTCTTTCGGTGATATTGCTATTGACCAGCGCGCCTTCTGATCAGAGGCAAGCAGATGTTCAGGGAGGGGCAGAAGCAAATGAGCGGTTTCTTTCTGGCTAAATTGTGGGCTTTGGGCTTGTGTGCTACTCATCGACTCCAGGCCAGAAGGCCTGTAGGGTAAAAACCAATTGTGTGTGGGGAACTCATCCAGGACACATTCCCAAGTGGCATGACTCCCAGAAGTGTAGGCCACTAGCTCCTTGTCAGGCCCTCCTCACACACAAGGAGGAGGGGCACAGACATAGAAAATGTATCTGATTAGATCTTTGGAATAATGCTGTTATTATTTCTTTGTCCATGCTTCCTATGCAGA